TATTCGAGTCGTTTATTGTTTTACGTTTTATTTTTGACTTTAATCACAAACTGTTGATTAGTAAACGGTTTCCTCAGACATATATCAATTTCTTTGCTTATCTAAACAATAATATAATTGCCTTACTATAGGGTGTTATTGAGTCGCATATATTTTCATTTACTTATTAGTGTTTGTATATACATATATCGATTTCTTTTGCCATACTGCAATTATATTTTGTATATATTTTTTCAAGGTATAACATAGTTGTCTTACTATAGGGTATTAGCCAGTCGTATATTATTATAGCTTTATATTTATTTATTACAGCTTTTATATTTATATCGATTACCATATGCTGCTTGTCTTACTATAGGGTATCACTACAGAGTATACCTTAGTCGTATATAATTTCATTGACTATAACATCTGAGTTTCTATAGATTTATGTTTCCGAAATCCAATTAAATGCTGCTTGTTTTCATACAGTGTATTCCCTAGTCGTATATTGCCAGCATTACTCTGTGTATGTGTTCTATCACTTGTTATTTTTAGATTCTGGCGTCGTCTTCGTCCACTATCCATCGTCCACTGTCCACCGTCCACCGTCCAGTGTTCACCAGCTATCTCAGCAATTTCCTATATAAATTCTTTGCTATATTATTGTTTAATAACTGTTAATGATTTCTATAGCCTTTGTTTACCTACTACTAAATTGTTGTTGTGGCTCTTGCTGCCATTGTTATTGTCTTTTGCTCCCTACCCACATTACTGTCTGCCATATCATTTGATAAAAAGGGTTCAAAAGTTTAAACTTAGTTGGTCTGTCGTCCATATAAGCAACCGGAGATTGTGGTATTTGTTTATTATTGGTTGGTCGGCTCTTATTGTTGTTGTTGTTGTGATGTTGTAAAGCTGTCGGCTTTTATTTAATTTTGATTGTTTCAAGATAGCTATTTCACGTTGCTTGAACTACAACCGCCTTATAGAAGGGCTTAAGGGCCTAATAAACGCCAAAATGACGGCAGCCAACGATCCAACAAATATTCCAATCAAAAATCATTTGAAATCCCCATGAAGTTCTACAATAGAAGTTAGCTAGGCAATACAAAATTTGAGTTAAGTCTTTAGAAAAATATTTCCGAAATCTAAATAATGATTGCCAATTAGCTCATTTATCATTTCTGTCAAACAAAATAGCAAAATTTTGTCAGTCATTAGGCCTGAAGATTTTTAATAGATTTTTTCATCATCATCATCACAAAGAGAAAAAAATAATCATAAAAATAAATTTGAAAACTGGTTTAATGATAAAATTTTTAAATTTCTGTATTGTTATAGCACTATCTTAAAGATAATTTTCTTAGAGTTGTATAGAATAGCGATATCGTTCTAAAGTCTAGCATCTTTTAAAGATCTTTAAACCTAATGACTGATTAAATTATGGCATTTAAAATTTAAGGTTTCATATCGATTTCATAGAAATTAAAAAATCTATTGATTATTTAATAATAGACTTGATGGGCAGGTCCTATGGAAGAGCGTAAGAGGAAGTAGTTGTGCACATAACCTTTAAAGTTTTTGTAGTAAACGTGTTTATAATTGACGCACAGGAAGACAGGTAGAGGGGTCTATATAGAGTAAGCCGTTTATACTTAATGGGGTCTGAGCACAGGTCTTTCCGTCATTTAATTATATTCCTCAACATCAACTATCCTGTTTGGGGTATAAAAATAAATTCTATACAAAAGAAAAAGTGTAAATTGCCAAAGGGTCTCTTTGACCGAAAGACTGTGATATATAATACCAAGCCATGTGATATAAGGGCTTCGAATAATAGAAACAAAACAATTATAGCCCGAATCCCCAAAGAGTTCAAGGTTTAGATACTTTTAGTTCCAATTTAAATTTCATTTCTTAATGCTAATTAAAATCTTATATACACACAAGACTCTCCGTTCTTAACGGCACCGCCACATATGTAAGTGCCAGACTTGTAAAGAGATAAACCACGTGCCAAAGAGTTGAACATTTGATAGACAATCGATATGAGGAGAGATAACGATATGTGAGAGAATGAGTGAATTGTTCTTGATAATTAAATTTGTTGCATTGCACTGCATTGCATTGGCAGGCGGCATAAAAAACGTGAATGTTATTTTTAGAGTTTAGGGAGGAGACGGAGAGCAGCGCGAAGAGGCTGTCGATGTCGATGTGGATGTGGACTGTGGCTGTGTTGGAGGCACAGTTTCTTGTCTGCCACTTGACGATGGCGACAGCGACGGCGACGGCGACGTAATGTGGGCAGTTTGCCCTTGCGTTTAAAAATAAGACTTGCAACTGTAAACAGCGACTGCAAGAGCGACTATAAATTCAGTTTGCAGCTTTTTTTTTTTTTAAACACTGAAGCAATTGAGAAACTGAAGGCAGGGTATATGCATAGTTTTAACAGTGAAAAGGGGGTATATATATATATTATTGATGATGATTGAAAATCGAGTCGATGCAGGCGAGTCAAACTGTCTGTCTGCTCAAGCTTCTTTTCAATTGATAAGTTTTCGATTTTGATGAAATCATTAGAAATTTATATCAAAATTTTTGTTTGTTCAGCATTTCTAGGTGCTGACTTCATTCTCTAGATTATATTCTATGCTATGGATGCAAATATATATGCATTTATTTATGCTACAGATACAGATATAGACAATGCAGATATCTGTATATGAAAACTAAAATACAACTAAAGCAACAACAGCAACGGCATTTCTAAAGGGTTCGGGTAGCTACTAGTCGAGCACTCCCGACCCGTAGTACTCCAACTTGTTTGTTTATGCAGTATCGATTCCAATTTTTAGTGCCACACAAAGTGCGCTGCGAGGTTTTCTCCTGTTGTTTGACAATTTTCGATATGGAGTCGCATGTGGCAAGTTAGGTTTACTCAAAGCTTTGCCGTTTCTCTCCTTCACTTTCCATATTAATTATGCAACCAATGTGGCCGGCCGTGGCAAAAGCAAAACAATCGATCAATCAGCTTGCCACATACGAAAAAGAGAGGGAGAGACAGCGAGAGAGAGAGAGAGTGAGAGAGAAGTGTGGGGAGGTGGCAGCAACAACAAGGGGCAGAAGCGTTTGGTAATAGGCAGTCGAAGCCACAAAAATGTTGCACAGCCAATTTGTAGGCTGCTGTTCGATTGTGGTTGTTGGGTTGATTGTTGTTGTTACTGTTGTTGTTGTATGCAGTTTAGTTGCGCGAATCAACTCTCAGTTTTTTCTTATTTTTTTTTCTGCCAACAATTAGTTAGCCGACTTTTCCGCACAGAAGCGAAACCAAACGTTAACATGCAACCAACAAAAAAATTTTTTGTTTAATAAAACTGAAACGAGACGGCAAACTGCCAAAAAATATAGCAAATGCATTTTCTTGCGGACTTTGTTTATTTATTACGATATATATCTTATTTCTGAAATTTTTTGTATTTTAGAATTTGGCAAGCAAATTGCGATGGAGAATTCCGCGCAGAATTTGATTTTTGTTTGGGTTTCATACAAATTGTAATGAATTTTGGCTAATGCGTAATTCATTTGATAAGTAAATTCTAAAGGCAGAACGTGGTAGGAGAGATTCCATTGAAACTTAGTACGTCCATTGAAGGTTTTTAATTCAATTAAGTTTTATTGAAAAAGGGCATACATAGAGTGAGGGACGTAGAGCGGGGAACTTTTATAGATACTGTCTGGTGCGCGTGGGCGGGTCTTTCAATTTGATAAACCATAAATGTTGTGCTCTGTACCCACAACTCGACTCTCGCCCACACAAACGCATTCATCGCAGAGCCCTTCAATGGCCCCATTGAAACAATTAAAATAATTAAACAACTGTTGCCAAATGCCAGCCTTGATGTCTACCTACAATGAATTTGCTTAACATTTTAATAAACTCGATTTGTGTTGTCTAATTGAATTAATTATAAATTGGTTAAATATTTCATTTTTATGCTATGCTTATTTGTAATGCGAAAAGAAGGTATATTTGGTTGAGATTGAGGAGTAACTGTATATTTGGTTGAGATTGAGGAGTAACTGTATTTAAATTAGATGAATAGATAGGAGCATGTCCAATCAGTAAAAAGTATATAGAAAAAATATATAAATATATGTTCATTAATGTAGTAATACGACTAACTGGACTAAATTATATTAAACAAAATATAATATTTTTAAAGAATTTGAGTTGAATATTAAGCTTTATTAAGCTATATTATTTTTTATTTTTTTATTAATTTAGTTGATTTTTTAAGAACATTCCGAGCTTGATAAAGAAAATTGAGCAAAGAGAAGCACTAATGAATTCTAGAAATAGAGGAGAAAAAAGAATAAAAATTGAATATAAAGACTAAAATGCTTAAGACATTTTTTTTATGAATTTCAAGAAATGTTGAGAAAATGAATCCACTAAAATATTAGTGGCTACTAAAGCAGGGGGATAGAAATAAAAACTGCAGTTGCTTGTGCTCAAGCGTAATGTACTCTAAGCTCAATTTGATGTTTCTCTGCAATCGTAAATATTTTTATATTTTTTTATTCATAAGTACTTTAACTACATTGCATATAAACCGATTTGCCAAGGCAAAGCAATGTAAGGGCTAGGTCGAGTGTGCGCATACCTTGAGACGGCAGGCAGAGTATGTCGTCGAGATTGCATTTAACAGAATTCTCTATTGCGCTGTGTCCCCTCGCTAATGTGCTATAAAAAGCGGAGAGCAACCCTCACCTCACCTTGACATATTAGTACGAGTGCTCAGGTGCAATTTAATTGCTGCCAAGATTTAGTTGGCGCGACGGCAATGGGAACGAACGCCCACACCTGCTGTGTGGGTGGGGCAGCTTGTGCTTGTGCTCTTCATGGAGCAGCAGCAATACGTTTAGTTAAATTAAGATTTTATTAGATTTACTTTGCACTTTCCTTGACTCACTCTTTCTCTCTCCCTCTCTCTTCTCTCTCTGTTTCTTTCATGCAGAAACTACTTTTGCGGCCTCAAGTGACTTATCCACAGCATCCGCCACTGCCAAAACTAGCTGCCAGCAACAACAACAACAACAACAAGTAGAACAACAGCATAAGGAGCCATCAGACGAATCAGCTGGCTCGATAACACGAATCTCGTATCGGGGACAACATCCGCACTTTCATCATCATACAACGCCAGCCTATTATACGGACCTGCAGCTACGCATCCATACACCGAGTGCATCCGACGATGGTGCATTGAATGAGAATTATCAGAGTGTTTATAGTACGCCCAGCACTCAGCTAGTTGAGCAGCGTTGCTTTCCGGTTAAAGCCAGCAATCAGACGATCAGTCAACGTGCAAAATTTTTTCGACTTGGCGACTCTGTGTCCACAGAGAACAACAGCAACAACAACAGCAGCAACAGCAGCAGCAGAAGACGCCAACGCAACAGCAACGAACGCTGCGCCAAATCCTTGCCGCCCTCTGTGAACCCTACAAAAGGTGAAACCACCTACCAAAGCCAAATCCAAAACGAAATTCCTATTGCCAGTCGTAGTAGTAGTTGTTGTAGATCACCACCCGTTGTAGTTCAAGCTAGCATCCAAGTAGCTGGTGTTGCAGGTGCACAGACCAACGGACGCAACAGTCGGCATACACAGCGCTTTCAGCAGCGCTCCAGCAAGCGGGCCGTGCGTGTGCGTAGCGAATCGCGTCCGATTAGCGCGCTCTACGACATAATATGCAAGGAGAAGGGCCTCGACGTAGGCAACAGCAGCAGCAACAGCGCCAGCAGCAGAAGCAGCAGCAGCAACGAGGAGGAGCAGCAGCAGCAGAAGGAGCAACAGCAGCAGCCGCAACAGTTGAACAAAAGCAACACACTGGCGACCTTTTGGCCTTTGCACCATCAATATTACAGACATTCAATGAGCGGCAGCGGCAATCATCATCATCCATCGGATCAGTCGGATAAGCACCGCCAATTGACCAAGCAGAAGCGCATCGTCCGGGTGCTGCCCTCAGAGGAGCTCTCCACGGACGATGAATCGCATGCACTGCATCCTAGTCAAAAGACAACAAATCTGACACGGATCAAGGGCATTGAGGCCGAGCTAGAGGTGACGCCAGCAGCTGACGATCCTGTCGAGCCCCATCCAGTGAAGAGCCATGATCTATTGCATAAGTTGTCCTACTCGGCGCCCACTTCACAGCTGGTGTTGAGTTACAAGGATGGGCAGCCCATGAATACGGAGGGCCTGTTTGTGGAGCCACCGAAATTATCGATACCGGACATAACTCGTTGTGTCCAAAAGACCAGCAGCAAAAAGCTGGCAGCGAATGAGAATCAGCAAGATCAAGAGGAACTAAAATCTTCAAACTATGAGCCAGGGGAAGTGATCGAGACACTGGCACGCTGGCAAGAGGAGCTGTGCTCCACCATGGACAAGTCTGCGCAGTTCTTAAACGGTGCTAATGATCATAATAGTCATCATCATCAACATCCTCCTTATCAGCCTGAGCATCATTATCAGCATAATGAACTGTCCGCATCTCCCGACACACTCGATCATCAGCATTCAGTGACCGTAGACGATCCTCGCCAGAACCTCAACCAGACCCAGTCTCAGTCTCAGCCACTATCCAATCATCATCATCAGGCGACTAATGCACGCAGGTAAGTGGCTATTTATTCGAGAGCGAACTATAGTAAACCTACTATATATTTAACAGCTTAGCTTTGTTCATGTATATGTAGATCTTAAAATGTTACTGCAGTTCTGTCTGTAAATGCTTTTGTGTAAATATCATATAAATTTCATTAACTTCCTTTGGTCTTAGGATGATTTCTAGGTGGCTTAGAGACGATCGTTTGATATTGAAAGATTGAATCAACTGATCTGCTCAGAGTTCAGGGTATATCCTAGTCGGGGAGTCTCTGTTTTGTTTGTTTATATAAATTATTTTTCCAGTTAATACACTTTTGTATTCTATCCAACTTCCCATTAAGATCATAAACCTTTCATACCACACTCCTGCTTGAAAATCTTTCTTTTCAGCTGAAAGAGAAACTGAACTTTTATAGAAAACCATAAACAATTTGTTAAATGAACCATTGTCGTTTCTCAGCTAAATTTAGCTAAAGCTTAGAGCTTAACTCTCCACGTGATGAGCTTAGGGCATTCCTAATCCTTAACCGCTAAAACAAATCGCGTTCAATTGTGGTTACAGATCTTCACTCACAAATTGTGTTACACAATTCCAAAGCCGGGCCCCCAAAACAAATCAACAACAAATAACAACAACAACAACAAAACGAACATCAACAGCATCAGATTCGACTCTCTTGTTAACAAATCAAATCTGTATATTGTTAAAAAAAAATTTGTTAGTATTAATGCGCTGTTATGTTGTGTCTGTCCATTGTTTTGATTTGATATTTTCGATGTTCAATGTTGCCTGTTGGCTGTTGGTTGTTCGCTGTTCGCTATTCGCTGTCGGTAGAGACATCTTTAGCAGTGCCAGTGCCAGTGCAGCAGTTCCATCAATTATAATAAGATAAATCAAAAACGACGAATTTCGACCCCGACCCCGGAACCCGACTTTAGAAAGCACCTGTTGTACGGTCGAGACTTAAACAAAAATAAAAACTGACAAACCGAAAAACCGGGCGACAAGTTTTCCATAGGCTGTCCATCGGCTTTCGCTACAAAAATGCCTCATAAAAGCGACAACAGAAAAGAGACGAAAATTTAAAATACAAATTAGAAAAAGAAGTGGAAAATTGTCACACAAAAGAAAATAGAAGAAAAGAAACAACTAAGAGTGGTCTAGTCGGGAGTGCACGACCTCTCAATACCCTGAAGGTGTAGACAGAGGACGTAGGGATTAGATAAGTGCATAATATTTGTTTTTCTTGACAAAGTCAGGTTTATGTTTTTTATTCTATAGACTTTTATTATAAAGTTCTTCAGTTTTTATAGCTTAAGAGTTCGTAGAATAGAGATGGGCTAAAGTATCCCAAAAGAAAGAGGTCTTTAGGAATTATATCTATATATCCTGTTAATGAATACCCATAGACTTTCTAGGAATAACCATGCCATTGCCTTCAGCATTACATAAAATCAATATACCCCTTACTAAACGTTTACATCTCTCTCAAAGTATTCAAAAACTAGAGTGGAGAACTGTCAACAACAAGAAAAGCATTCAACATAGAATTTGTTAGGAAACCAAGAAAATTTGATTGCATTCAATTAAACCTTGATTTTTATTGTTTTGAGTATTAGCCTTGGAGATCTACTCGACTCTACGTTTTATGACCCAGTCAAGACTCAAAGGTGTCGCGTCGTCTCGTCGTCTGGCCGTGTCTTCTAACTAGTCCTGATTTCGCTTTCTGGCTTGGCGCGGCCGCGCTGCAGCTGCGCAGCCAAAAAGTGGCCAACCGGTTGCTCAATGGTGCATCACTTTTCCTTTTTCTTACCCCACCTCCGCCGCCTGCGCAAAAAGCTTTTCCTTGACATAGTCAACTAGTTGGAAAGTTCTTTTTAGCAATGCAGCAAGCAGACAAACAGCTGGATTGTCAAATCTCTGAAAGGCCTGCCTGCCTGCCAGATGATATATAAAAATTGGAAATTTCCATTTGGCAGATGTCTTCAAGTAATCGAAGAGGCGAGACGTTAATGATGATCTGTCTGTCTTCGACCTTCTTAATTGGAATAGCCTTGAGTGCACATAGTAATGTAACTTAAAGAGCTGATAGTTTTTCTGCTCGCTGATGCTGCCCAAAAGGGTATATTGGTTTTTGTGGATTGGAAAATGTAATGTGTGTTTGCGATTGTAGATAGAGATGTTTAAGACCTTAAAATGTCTCGACGCGTCATCTGATAAGAGACTTGAGCTTGTTTTGGAACTAGTAGATCGGAAAATGAGTAGCAGATTGAATTATATTCAATTATAGTAGATTAGAGCTAGTCCTTGGATGTTTTACAGGTGTCGTATTGTTAAGTTACTCTGGAGTAATGCCCATTATGGAGAGGTATTGATGGTTGACTGAGTCTTAAGATTGATTAAATATCTAAAAGTTGACTATTGTTGAGCTACTCTAAATTTATACCTATAAATCATAGAGTTGTGCTTATTATAAGGTTGCCAGATCGGCGAATATTGCTGAATCAGCTGTTTTTCCTCTAGGGTGCAACAATGTTGCAGTACAGATCTTAAACCTATGAAGAAATTATAAGTCATACTAAATCGTTTCAGACCAATTATTCTCTTAAATATATACAAACTCCTGCAGCTCTGCTTCTGCTTCTCGCTTTTGTTTGTTGTGGCATTGAGAAGTCGCGACGTATTTAGCTCTTGCAGCCTGATGAGCTGTGGCACGCAGCATTTTATTGACTAACCGAGTGGCTTACTGACTCACGACGCACGGCTCATGCTCGATGAGCAACTGCAATGCATTAAGGAAGTGAATCGCAGACCAGTTGCAGTCGTAGACGTGGACGCAGACGCATCAGCCAAATGGATATTATTTACATGACAAGAGCAGACGACATTGAGATATTTTTTTTTTTTTGGCTACCTGCGCATGCCCAGCAGCAGCAGCAGCAGCAACAGCCACAGCAACAAGCAACAGCAACTACAGTAAATAACTTGTTGCGCTTTGTTCTTGATGAGATAAAAGATATATGTGTGTACAACAGGAACACGACAGCAATATAGCAACACGAATGTGCAGATACGAATGAGAGCGGCTACCTGAGCAAAAGTTGAGACACAGTACAAATTGTATGTGCGAATTTTCGCTCTTTGAGTGTTTTCGTTTTTGAGTTTTGAGTTAATTTGTGGCTGCCAGTGAGTGTGTGTGTATGTATGTCTGTCTATGCATGTGTGTGTGTGTATCTGCAAGATACAAAAATACACAAAACAAGCGGCGGCAAAACCCAAACAGCCAGCAGCCAAAAAAAAAAACAACAACAACCTCTTGTTATTAGCTTCGCTCACTGGTTGTTGTTATTGTTGTTGTTGTTGTCGGCTGTTGGTTGTAGTTTCTTGTTGTTGTTGTTGTTGGTTATCGTCTCTGCAGCTTGGGTTAGCAGAGTTACTTTCAGTTTGCCCGTCGGCAGTTGTTGAGCGTGTTTGAAGGCGTCTAGCTGTGCCGCATCTAGCGGAACTCAACGAAAAATACGGTTTCTATCTTTCTCTTCATTTCCTTGGAAAATTTTGTAGTTAACTTGAGTTAGCCGCGTTAACAATTACAGTTACAAGTTGCTCGTAAGCTAGACGATCCTTTTCACACTTTTTTATTTATATTTATTTTATATATTTTCTTTGCCTGCAGATTCATAACTCGAACACCGCGTTCCGGCAGTCGTCAAAGTGCTGGCCACTCGTCCCCGCCACCGCCCGTTGGCTATTACAGCGATTCATCCAACAGCTCGCCATCGCCCACACGTAGGCACCATCAGCAGCAGCAACAGCAGCAGCAACAGCAGCAGCAGCAGCAATCAGCAGCAGGTGCAACAACAAAGACAACTGTTGATGTTGCAACTGCAACCGATCCGCAATCATCAACGAATGGCAACAGCTCCGCTTATGAGACAGCCGCCACATCTGTAATGACAAATGCCAGGCAGCTGCAGTTGCAGTCACAACACATCGAAGTTCCTAAGAGCACATCGACAGCATCCAACATCGTTCACCTTCGCCCCACAGCCGGCAACTCAGGTGAGTCGAGAAACTGAAAGAAAAAACCGTATTTGCTTTGTGCCGTTGTGTTTTGTCCTTTTGTCCGTCTACCTTGCTATTGTTGAGTGCCGTTTTATTCAATTGCTTGAACTGTTGAATTTTAATTAGATATAGATATGGATATATATAGATATATGCTATTCAACTAGCTTTTCAAATTATTATTGCCTGAATCATACACAATTTAATCCTGCTTTTTTATGCCTCTTCAATACTTTGTTAGGCAGCGTACTTTGTCTTTGGTATTTCTTACAATTATAGTATTTTATTTTGAGTATTTTCTGTATACCAAGCGAAGAAGGAACTTCAATTTTGTCCTTATCTCCTACAATCCTTATCTCGTAGATTCTTCAATCACCTTTCCTTACCTAGTAATTTCCACACTTACATATATATTTATTATGTATAATATTTTCGATATACCAACAATATCTCTCCCTAAAACTTATACATTTGATATGACTTTAATGATCGATCCTTATATAAGGAGATCCCACAATCCTTATCTAGTAGATCATTTAATGATTTATACCTGTGCCAACTCTCAAGTTTTCATCTCTTCAGCATTTTCGTCTTTACTTCTCTCAACCGCTTTTCCTGCTTTCCCACCAAAACAATAAACACCATAATTAGCTAGCCTTTCAGCTCCATCAGCCGTAAAGGTGAACTGTCAACATTACTAAAACTGCAAATTAGTTGAACTCTCAAGAGTCGAACACTTGAAAAATCTTGTTGCCACATTGCTATTTGATGTCTGTTGGAGCACTTAAAAGTAATTTGAACTAAATTAGATCTTGTACTGCTTGCCAATCGAGCGCAAATCTTTGCTAAGACCTTCAAAAATTGCTAACCAACAAAAAAACAACAAAAACAAAAACTTCGAAAAAAAAAACAAACTAAAATTAGACTTCAATACGTGTCCAACGAATTATATAAGAAACAATCACAATTTCAAAATAATTATTTATATTATGTCTAAAACAATTTTGCAATATTTTGCATTATCTGTAAATCTAAAGATTTGATTTTGTAATTTTTTGCATAGTTTATTTCGATGCGTCAAAAAAAAGGCAGACTTAGGCAAATCGAAGATTTCATTAAATTGCTAAACAGAGAGAAAGATAAAATATATAATGAGTATGCGACACGGCTGTGCCCATTTAATTTATTTATCAATTCAAATAAAAATATAAAAAACAACAAACTTTGATTCATTCAAAACTTTTTGCCATCTTCTTCTTCCTTTTTATTATCAATTTGTTAAACAGTTTCATAAAACATTTTGACAGTCTCTCATAACAACGGCGCTCGAGAAAGTGCCCAAAAAAAAACTTGATTGATTGACAAATTTACATAGTTCCAAAACCTCATCTGATAACTTCATATGTCATAATGAATATAAACCTCAATTTCCCACGAATCCCATAAAAGTTCTTCAATAGATCGAAGTTTAAAGTGTTTGTTTTTTTTTTCACTTTAGTTACCTTACTTAACCTAATTTTCGTTTGATTCGATTTGATTTACAAATTTTGCAACGATATATTTTTTATTATATATCTTTGTTTTTTTCTTGTGTTTTGGGGCTCGGCTTTATTGTTTGGGCTTCAACGTTATTAATTTCATTTCTTTGTTTGTTTCTCACTCTTGCCCCATGTGGACCTTTTTGTCTAGGGCCAATGCTCGTAGCATAAAGTTGACTGATCTCTGACTGACGGACATATGGACATTGAACCGAAGCAGCTCAACTTGTTTCTCTCTAACGTTTTGGCAAGCATTTACAAGATTATTTAACTCAAATGGGTCAGCCTCATGCGAGGCAAAGAACTAAGTTCTCAAAGAGAACTATTGAGTAGTTCTATATGGAGTTCATCTGCATGATTGTTCCATGATTGTAAACGGAATAAACAGGCGGGATCTATAATATAAAATATATATATATATTATATTTTATGGATCGAGAACAATAACCGAGTCAATTTAGATCTTTATGTTTGTCTATAAAAGATAAAGACTTGAAATCGTTCTGCTATATCACGAACAGCTCAAGTTTTGTTTATAAATGATCGATAATATGAATCTATAATTTTATCGATTGAAATCGATAGTAAAGTTTAGTTATTTGAGAATGTATTGCACGATTATAGTAGAGTATTAATATTTGCTAAAAATTTCTTTGGCTAGACTAGACGACTAGACGACTATAAAATACTTCAGTATTTGACTACCTAGCCCCATGGCCCCACCCAACATGGGGAAAAGCTTTCGTACATAGAAAGTTGTGCCGAACAATTTGCCAACAACGATCAAACAATCACACCCTATTGTTTTGATAGCATGTGATGCAATTAAAATGACTCGCACACACACACACACACACACACATACACTCTCTCTCACTCACACAACCTGGCACACATAGATATGAAATTGCTTAAATCTCTTCTGAAACATACTCACGCATATCCTTGCAAACATTTATCAATTGTGACGCAGCGCTACTCAATACTGTTGCCTCGACAAGCGCCAACAAACGCAGCATTCATTTCACTTGCAACATCAACAACAACAGCAACAGCCACAGCAACAGCAGTAACAGCAACAACAGCCGCTTTAACAATAACAGTCAGCAACATCAGCAACAGCAACAGCCTTGCCACGCCACGCCCATGCCACCCCTTGCCACGCCCAGAAGCAAAGCGCCATTGATAGTGCTTAAAGCAACAGCAGCAGCAGCAGCAACAGCAACAGTTGCTGCAGCAACAACAACAACTGCAACTGCAACTGCAACTACAACAGCAGCAGCAGCGTCGCCTTCAAAGCGACGCAAAAATTTGCTTTCGCCTCTGCGCATTGGCGGCAGCAGCAGCCACACGCCCCCGCAGTGTAGTCCGCTGTTGAGCAGCTCCTCATCCTCGCCCCAATCCTCGCCAGCGGTGCGCACAACCAAAGCCAGTCGTCTGCGTGCCGCAGCGCTCGGTGAGTTATTCATTCAATCATTTGATACCCGGTACCCATCTACACACACACACGCACACACATGCTCTCTACACTCTGCTCTCTATTGGTGTTGGTTTCCTAGTTGTAGCAAAGATATTATTGCTCATTGTTTTTGGTAGTTTTTGTTATCCCTTAATATGCTGAAGAATCCTAACTAACTGTCATTTCATGCTGTCTTCCCCACCATTTGCAATGCGCACCCACACACACACACAATCAGATCGCAAGAAAGAAGAGGAGCAGCATCAGCAGCCGCCGCATCCACGTCCACGCTTCACTTCGCCCAGTGCGCTGCGTACAAACTCCACGCCGCCTGGCCGACGCCTGAGCAGCTCGGAGCTGTCGCCCAAGCGCAGCAGCAGCAGCGGCTTCAACTCGGATACGCCAAGGAATACGGCACGATCGGCGTCGCAGCCAGCGGAGCCGGTGGAGCGACGCCCGTTGGTGGCCACGGCCAATAATCTATCCATGAAGCAGAATTTGAGCGAGCTGCACTTTACGGGCGGACCACTGAGTCCGGCCAAGGCCGAGTGCACATTGCACATGCGACCCAGAAGCTCCACAATGTGCGCCGAGGTGGAGCATGAGGACGGCAGTGGCGCCAGCGTGGGCAAGCAACGTGATAATCTGACCAACCTGCAGCTGAGTCCCGTGCAAAAGCACAAGCGAACTGTGAGTCAACTCTATATATAATATATCGATTCACTTAAGTATATTATTTATTTTTATTTTTCAGCCGGAAGCCTCACCTTTGCCGCGTCGCAGCGGTGATCGCGATAAATCAGCGAAACGCAAATCGAATCTGAATCGTTCATACAACGAGGAAGCCACCAAGGATAGCGGTAAGTGGGCCACCAAGCCAGAGGCCAACGGGCTGGCAGCAGCAGTGGTGTGGCTAGCAGAGGAGTGAGGCGAGGCCCGCTGTCTCATCCAATTTCGGGCATCATCGTCAGGCTTGATTGCCCCAGCGGTGATCGTGTAACAGAGGCTGTTGCATTGCTGCAACATTCAGTGCCTCGATCGGCGTCTCGTGCTCATCATCATCATGTGGCACGCAACGAGCATTCAACACGTTCAATACTTGCAACTGCATCACTGTGTATATCACGAAAGCTTCCTGCTCGAATCTGTTATACGTACCAGCTGTTTGCAATATGTTATACTGCTCCCACTGTCCAGTTGCATGTGTTTCTTGATTGTTTCTTGTTTCATTTCGTCAATTTCGTTTAGTTCAATTCATATTCATATTTCCTTTTTTGCCTTGCAGATGAGAATTCGTCCATGCGCCGGCGACGACGTCGTGAACTGGGCATGGCTCGTCCTTTGATGCCAGGGGATGATGAGTCGCTGCGAGAGCTGCTGCAGCAACCGCAGCCGCAGTCGCCTCCGCAGCCACTGCCGAGGAGCTCCTGCAGCGAATCTGCATCCAAATCGGAATCGTTGCGTCTGGCACGCGGCCTGAGCCAAAAGCTGAACGAGCGCACCAAAACGGATCTGGCCGAGATTAAGAAGATTGCCGAACAGGCCCAGGTGACATCTGGTCAGCATGAATCGGCGCTGCGACGCAAGAGCACGGATGAAATAGCTTCATCCTCGGCACTGGCTGCAGCCTCCGTCTCCACACAGAACTCGCCGCCTGCACCCAACCAGATTGTGTCCATACTGAAGAAGAAGGAGCACGCCTTTGGCGAGTGCAATTCGAGCGCCTCCAGCAATGCGTCGCCGGTGACGTTCTCGGCCACGGTGCTGGACACGCCGCTAGCGACGAGTAGCCGGAGCAAGCGTCAGGGCATACTGAAGAAGCGCTCGAGTCTGGATGAGTCGCGCTACTATTCTCGCTCCCATTCGCCCGATGAGCGAAGTATTCTGATCAAGTCGGCGCGTCGCAATTCCCTGGAGGAGGCGGGCATCACGCTCAGCTCGGGCCAGGCGCACGGCATCCTCAAGCAGAGCAGCTACGAGAGCTCCAAGAGCGATGGCTGTCCATCGGCAAACGAATCACAGCCGCATAGCATCCTGAAGAAGAAGGACTCGCTGTCGACTCCCTCGGATGGCGGTGGACACGTCTCGAAGCACGTTTCCATCTCGCAGGCGGTCACCTTGGCCGCCGCTGAGCTGGCCGCGCACGACGGCAGCCTCGCTGGCATCGAGGACAGTGAGGAGCACGAGATACGGCCCATCCTCAAGCAGGAGAGCACCTCCAGCGAGGAGGCAGCACGACCGCCAAAGCCCATACTAAAGAAAAAGTCGTTCGGTGAGGCCGATGAGCACGAGATTCGGCCCATACTCAAGAGCAGTCGCAAGAGCAGCCGCGAGGAATTCGATTTAAGTGAAGTGACCCAGGAATCTAATGACACCATTGCCAATGAGGCAAGCACAATGCGTCCCATATTGAAAACGGATTCCCCGTCGAAGCGTCGCTCCCTTGGCAACGCTCAGCTCGCTCAGGAAGAGAGCGCCACGAGTCTGCTCAAGCGTCGCACTCGCTCCCTGGAACGCCAGGATGCGCCGCCTGTCATGAATCTGGCTGCCGCCTTGGATGCCATAACCAATTCGCAGACGCCCGTTGATATTGTGACAACGCCATCAAACATCTCGGTGGCTGAACGCATCAAGCACATGGAAATGCTATCGACACCCCCGATGAGCAGCACGATTGGCCCAGCTGGTCTCAACAGCAGCTGGGACTCGCCGCTGCAGCAGACAACGCAGTTGAACGACTCCGGCGCCACGCCCAAACTGTTGAAGCCCAGTGTTCTACGCAGAGATCTCTACAAAGATCGTTACAAGACGCAGCCAGTGACCAGCGAGGAGAAGAGCTTGTGAGTATGATAAATGAGAAGAATGTGAATGTAGACTCTTGTGGGATCCCTCGGAATATTGGCATTTGTAGGACTTCTAGCATAAGAGAGCTTGAGCTACTCTTTAAGCGATCTCTATTGTAGGCTATAACAAATTGTATTTCATTTAGTTTTTAGTGAGGAGAAGAACTTCTAAGTATACTCTCTTAAGATCTCTCGGAATTTTGTTAGTTCTTTGGCTTCCAGTTTCAGGGGCATTTTCTAGGCTTCTTTGTAAATAACTCTGAGTGCACCTTGAGCAACTCTTTAAGCGATCTCCATTGCAAGTAGACTATCTTGAGAACCCTAGGAATCTTGTCAGTTGTCGGGCTTCCAGCTTCAGAGCTCACTTTCCAGACCCTCTCCAGGCCTCCACATTTACCTTGAGTCCAGTTTAAGCTACTCCTCAAATGCTTTCCATATAAGCCAATCACAAATTGCATTTCACTAAGTTGTTGTTGTCACCTTAAGCGGCTTATTGCTTGCCTAATTACCTCACTGACTGACTGACTGACCACTGAGCCCAACAGTGCTGCAGAAATAAAGTCGATGAAAAGAGAAGGTTGCGTTACTTGAGGGGCTTGAGTGGTTCGAGTGTGGCGGAATAGACTTGTTTAAATGTTGAGCCACTCATAGATTGATAACATTTCAATAAATTGAGAGCAATGCTTTTTGGTTGTGTGTGCTGCGTGTGAACGCAAGTTCAAGCGCAAATGACCTTGGTAGTTGCTATCTTTTTGGCAATTAGTATAAACACGCCCAAGAACTCTCATCACGCCCTTTTTCTGCGAATTCCCTGTGTGTGTGTCGGCGCCAATGGTACGCTCGTAAACCCCGTTTCCAGATAAATGTACCGCTCGTTACCAACTAGTATTTTCGACTGCTCAAAGAAGAATAGACCAAAGTAGAGAACCGACCGACAGACACCTTCTATTTAACGGGGTTTTCATGTCAGCATTTTATGTGCCTGGGCTTTTTTGTTCGTATACCTGGCTGCGTTTGTTCTGTTTGCCACACCTCTCGAGGCGTATCCGAAATTTCTGACGAACTCAACAAAAGCTGATATTGGGAATCATGTTTAGTATTCAGTTTTTTTAATATACTCTTTGAAAAAAATGAGGTGAAATGGAATCGTATGGATTGTAAAGAAAGTTGAATCCATTGTTGACATCTAGAAACTTTTCAGGATTTGTTCTACATTTTCCCTTTTTCCGAATTAAAAATTCTAAAAGTGGTTTTAATGTCTAAGGTCTTTAAGCAGTGTCATATTATTATATTATATTAAGCTTAATGCGCATCCTTAGATTTGAAATGGTATGTAAAAATACTATACAAATTAATACGTTAGCTTCCATTTTTCATCAAATTTTGTATTATAGAGTATTTGTTAGAGTATTCAAGCTTCGTCAATCATAAAACAAGCTATTTTATTACTATTCTTGGCACTCCCTCATATTATATTTCATATTTGTCAAGCCGTACTCAAGTACATATTCATATTCCATATATTCCAGCCTTTCCAGTTTCACTATATGTCAAGAGTATACAAGCGTCGTCAATCATATGAAATAAACTCTCTTTTGTTGCTATTCTTCGCACTCTGCCGCATTTGCATGCGCCGATCCGATTCGATGTATTGTCTATAGCTTTTAGCGACTGCCATTGTGATGCGCAAATTTATGCCAGCCATATTTGCAATGCCTCCTGTAAAGGGTAGCGCGCGAGGGTTTATGGGGGGCTTCTCAAGGCCCGTCTTTAGTGTTGTTTTTTTTTTTTTTTTCGAATAGTCAATGTGTTGCTTGGAGCGTTGCATTCAGTTGGCTGTCGCATGCGAAAGCGTCCACAGATACTTTTGACTTGGTTCGGTTAGCGATTGTTAAGGGTTGAGCGCTCTTCCTCTTCTCATGTTGTTCCAGCGTCGACAGAGCGAAAGAATGTTTGAGGCGTATATCAGAAAACGGTAAATAGAAAATGGAAAACTAGAAATAGAAAAATGGAAATCGTAACAGCATTGCCAATTGTGCAAGCCATAAAAATTCAACGACTCTGCGATAAGTGTTATACAAGAGGTGTGACGCGTTTTAATGGCCTACATTTGCAGCTATTGGCCAGATAACGTATACGACATCAAGGACTGTATACAGAGCTACATGTAGAGTATTTATAGTACATCTAGTAAACATGTGTTGTCTAACAAGTTAGGTAATAAAATAGTAGATTGACAATGATTAGATTATTGAATTGGCTGTTGGATGATGAGTACGTTAATATTTGGTGATTGAAAACTTTGGTAAATTCAATGTTTTTTTCGACCGTGAGTCAATTTGTGGCCAAAACCAAAAACATTCGGGAATTTCAATTATAAACTCGGTTTCAATTGAAGCCTAATTTTGACTAAGCCAAATTTTGTGACAAACTCTTTACCTAGATTTTCTCTTACCAAAGAGAAAAGTCAAGAATCGGAATGAAAAGTTTACGTACAACAAAGACATTTTGAAATTGTGGAAAATAGAGAGAGAGAAAATAGTGTACGAAAATAAATGTGCAGACCATGGGCAATAAAACGAAAACAAAGCTGAAAATAATTTAAATTTTGCTGTGGCCGCAATGGCAGCGCAGTCGACAGCGACGCCAACAGCGACAGCGGCAGAGGCGCCGCCGTTGATCGTCGGCTTCGCTTTGCCCACTTTGTTTTTACAAATTTTGCGCTCAGTTGCTCGCGATCGCCTTTTCAATTTTCAACGGGGCCGCTCCGGCTGAAAATTTTGTTTTTCATTTCGGGAAAATCTATTTGAAATGTATATGTGTGCGATTGCGTGCGTACATGTGTGTGTGTGTGTGTCAATATATAACGAGCGTAAATAAATAGTAAATCGTTATAAAAAAAGAAATAAAGAAGAGAAAAAAGCCAACTGATAACAAATATCAAATCTATCGGCTCTTGGTTCTTGGTTCTTATCAGCCGTCGCATAGGTAAAAGAAAACACAAAATCTATCAGTTTCCAAGCACCGGTCTCACGAAGCTGTCGCCAGTTGCTTTAGACACCGGTTATCGGGCAGTAGTAGTACCCATAGACAGACAGAGACGGTGATAGAGAGATAGGGAGAGGAAGTCGCTTCTCACCTGCCAAAAAGCGCGTGTTAATCGTTGTCATAGTCAGTTATTACATATAGCCAAATGGAAATGCTGCGGCAATAACATTTCGTAATGTTCTAAAAATAAGTCCATGGAAATTGTGCACTCAAATGGAAATACATATAAATTCCTCAACAAAATAAAAACACAAAATCCACAATTTTCTGTGAAATTTGCAAAAAAAAAAAAAAATGAAATGAAATTAATTTTATATTAGTGAACTACAAATAGGAGTGCAAAATTCAACAAAAATAATTTTTGGGTCAGAGACTGTGAAATGTGGTTAACCGTGGTTCGAATATTAGTCAAAAATTATTGAAATCATAATTATATAGTTATGTACATATATGTATATGTATTTATATATGTATATGTGCTATCGATCTTTTTTGCATTATATATACATATATATTTCAATAATATTGCCAGCTGTTTGGGATTTCCATATTTTGGCATCTCTTAAGAATGCTCTCTCGCTCTCTTCCTCTCTCCTTTCTCTCTCTCTCTCTCTCTCTATCTCTCTCTCTCTCTTTGCGCCGCCTATTCAAATCTAATTAGTACATTTCTTTTTTAGGTTTATATTTTGTTTATTTATAGTTTGTTCGGTTTTTTCTCCTGTACTACAAATGTTTAGGCTAATGTTTTGTTTAGTAGATAAACTCGGGGCATATACTGGGCCAATGAGCTGAACAAGTTGCCAATGAGCTGCTTAATTTAGCTGTGAAATTTGAATTTTAAAGATTATCCTAATTCCAAGTATTCGTATTCGCATGAAAAACTTCTTTTTTGAATAAATTATAATGGAGCATAAGCATAGTGATTTCGCTTTCAGCAAAAACACATTTGCAGCAAATTATTGCAGTTAATTGGCTCAGCTTAATTTTTACCTGGGGGTTGTCAATCAAATTTCACCATAAAAAATCCAAAAACAACAAAAAACGTGCGTAATTAGCGTAGGGAAAAAATGCGTTTGCCTATAATTATGATTGCCCCTAATAGCGCATTGTTCAAAGATCAGAAAGAGCAACAGAGAGAAGCGAGAAAAAGAGGGAAAGTGCCGATAGTTGGCGATAGATGAGAGAAAGAGAAGAGTCAAAGAGAAGAACTAGAGAGCAATTGAATAAAATAATTAGATGGGGTTTTGTGTGGAGTGTTAGAGCGAGATGGATGCTATAAGGGGGGTAAAGGACAAGAAGGAAGCTAGATAGAGAGAGAGAGAGAGAAATGTATGAAGAATAAGACAGAGAAGACATTGAGGACGATATTAGGGAGAGAAGAAATAGAGAGGAGCTAAAACGGCTGTCGTGATAGACTGAGATAGAACTAGAAAGAGAGAGGGTAAGAAAGGGAGAATGGTTGGTGGACTGAGAGAGAGACCGGTATGGATAAATTATGATAAAATAGATCAGTAGGGAAAAAGGAAAGACCGGAAGAAACGAAAAAGAATGGGACAGAAAGATAGCTGGAGGGGATGATCCCTGAATATATTCTTTTGCTATAAATTTTATTATAAATTTACATTAAATATAATCTCTTTTCTTCTTTTTGCATTGTAGCTTTAAAGCAAACTCCACGCCATTCGATATCTCGGCGACATCGGCCTTCAAGCCCACGAAACCATTGGAAATCCATCAGCATCCGCATCAGCACCAGCTGCAGCAACAACAGCATCAGCCGCTAATCTCGCCCATCACTGGACAACCGCTGAGCCACGTGCCAGCACCGCTGCTGCTCTCCTCATCGACCCACTCGACGGCCGGCAATTCTTTCCGCTTGGGACGCAGCTCGACGCAGCCACGCCTGCTGCAGCTGACAGTGACGGGGACTCCGGCACCGACACCGGCCAACTCTTCGCACAGCCTGCACCGCCAGCATTCGGTCAGTGATAGCATCAACGCCAGCCTAAGCGAACAGCTGACATTGTCTGTGGGCAACAACGATACGGAGCACATCTTCGAGATGTCCGGCATAGACAATGACTCGGCCATTCAGTCGCTCAGCGAAGACGCCTCCACGGCCACCCAGTCAAGCACTGGCGTGGGCGTGGCACGCAGCAATAGTGTTCGTGCTCGAGCCAACATGTTCCAGCAGCTGCAGGAGCAGTCGCGCAGCCGACGGGAGGCGGCCGGTAGAGAGCAGTTGCCAGCGCAGTCGCGTTCATTCGCCAGCAGTCAAGGTGAGTACAACAACAACAATAGCAACCGCGAAATCAACAACAAAGACAGTCCGCAAATATCATCAACATAACAGAAATTAGCATTAGGCCATTAAGAGTGAAAGACCTGTGGGAGGGACTTCAGGGGGGCTATGGAGCAACTGCGAACTTTATTCGCCATTGGAGCAGCGATGCGTAAAGCAACAATAACAAAAGACAGTTACGTTTAATACGAGTTCGTAGTAGCAGCTACTAGAGTGGTTCGTGATGTGTGATGTGGTTCGGTGTGAACAGGTTAAAAGAACCGGTTCTTAGGTCCAGCTTAAAGCGTTAGAAAGTAGCGAATTCAAAACTGTTTTTTGCACATTTATTTTATTTAGTAATTATACCATTTCTAATTGCATCCCAAGAGGTGAGTTACCTTAGGCAAATCTTTGAATTGAATTAATCTAAATTGCTTTCCTCTTAGTGACGTCTTTGTACATTTGATATTTTGATCAACAATTCAAAATCCTCATTTCTCACTCTCTTGAACCAAATTAAACTCCATATATAAAGAGCAATCCAGGTATAGGAATAGATCATCGAGCCAAATGGCTTCATTAGACTTATTCTTTCTGAGCTGCGTTCTTATAGATCCTCTAAAATATAGCTCAAGTTGTCTTATTCAATTGAGCTAGTTCATTCTCTGGAACTAGTGAAAGAGAGCATATCCATTGAGTACCATAAATTAAGAATACTCCACAGTGTTTGTTTGATATGGCAATGGGTTTCGGTCTGGTCAGCACGCCGATTCAGTGAACGCTCCATGGGCGACACTTTATATACAAACATATATATTTATATATTTTGCAAGCGTGTTGTTGCTACTGCTGGTTTAGTGGCAATTCCATTATGGCCGGCATGGTTGTTGTCCAAGTTAATAAGCTGTAAAATGTGTGTCACTTGCTCAACATACACCTGCTTCTCTCTTCCCCACACCTCTCTCTCTCTCACTCTCCTTTGCACAACTAGTCTGGCAATCAGCGACTAATTGAGGTTTGGTTAACAAAGCAGAAGAGAGTAGAGGAGAGAAAAGGGAAGAGCGAACGAAGTAGGCTTTGATAAAGTTTAGATTTAATGAGAGTGTCTCGTCTCAATAAACACACAGTTTCTACGTTGACAATGTTACACAAAGACGGCGTTGAGAGCTGTGTCGAAAATTTGAGTACGTCTAGTCATTTATTAAGTAAATATGGAGTCAATGCTAAGTGCACAAGTCAGTTTGAACAAAAATTTGCAGTTCCAAGTTGTGATCAATGTTTTAATGAAATTAGATCGTAAAGAAAGTGAGTGGGCAAGAGACGAAAAGAAGACAGCTGGCATATACAAACATTAAAGTTAAATACAAATACTAATTCTATCTCTCTCTTTCTCTCCTATTGCAGCAGTAACTCCTCACCACTCGCCGCCACCGTCGGCAACAGCCGAAGCTGCCGCTGCTAGCTCGCACAATTCGTTGAACGACGAGCCGAGTACACCAAATACAACACAGGACACGACCGATGCTGATTTCGGTAAGTGCCAAGAACTAACACATACACATACACACACTCACAAAGAGGGGGAGAGCGAAGCAAGCAGCTCAGCAAAAGCCAAGAGCGCAGGAGAGCCATTCGTTGCATGTGCTCGCACTCCATCTCACGCTCTGGCTGATGCTGTTCCTGCCTGTCTCGCTCGCTCTTTTAGTACATGTTTACGTTTCATTTGTGCTCTCTTTTGTTTTGCGTGCCTGCATCGCAATTTGCCAATAACAAATAAATGCATATTGAATGTTGTTCTTGTTGTTGCTGTTGTTGTTGTTGTGACTCTCTTTAAGTGTAAGTTAAATATTTGACTTTCTTTGTTGTTGTTGCCGTTTCTTTTCATTCAACTAATTGCATTTTGTTGTTGCCCTGCTCCAATTATTAAACAATAAATGGGCAACTGAGCAACATAAATCGCCATAAAAAGTGAATAAAACAACAACAAAACATTAATAATAAAAACACATCTCTAATTATATTCTTGGCATGCATTTTGAATTTTTTAATTTTATCTAACAAATTTTTTAACACTGTTATAGCTGTTGCTGAAGTTGTTGTTGTTGATGTTGCCGCATGACGCATGCAACAAATAAAAAAATTCATACACATATATATATAATTTTTACACATTTTTTATGTAATTAATTATACGCCACGTGAGCTTCGATTTTCATTTTGATATTCAATTGCATTCGCTCATCGTTTTCCTTTGGATTTTACTATTTTCAATTGCATAGATTATTCGTTAGCTTTTAGTTAATTTAATTAAGCGTTCATAATTGTATAGTGCCTTAATTTAAAGCTGATTTTATATTTACCCAGTTTTGGATGAGTTGTGCTTCCTCTGTTTATTATATTGTTTGATATAGCTGTGTCAGTATGTTTATAGTATAAATAAGTGAACTACTGCGTGAATGTGTTATACTTGGGGTGTTTTACACTGCAGCATAAGTAGCTGGTATACTGCGAGAGAGTGTTGTACTACAGTGGACTAGATAGACTGTGTAAGTGTTATTCCACAAAATGTGCGATTGGTATATAAATTTTTGATACTTTTATACTGCCTGAATAAGTAACTGCCATACTCTACATGAGCTGCAGCATATGTAACTGGTATACTGTGTGTGGGTTATAATATATTTCTAGTATCCTTCTTGAATGTGTTATGCTGTATGAGAGTATTATCCCATGTGTGTATGAGTGTGTTATACAATACTTAAGGAACACTGTGAGTGTGTTATATTCGATTCTAGGTGTTCTCTGAAGCAGTTATACTCCAATTTGTCTGGTGTATATAATCCTTGTACTGTGATTTAGTTTACTTTGTAAATATGTTATACATGATATTTGCTATACTGTTTAAATTTGTTATATTTCTCGTGAGTGCTCGCTCTCCTCGAATCTATTAAAAGTTCTTAAAGAAATGACCTTTTCTCTAGAATCTTCATTATATAACTTCTTGCCAACTATTCTGGGTTTTCGAGCCCCTCGTAGGAGCAGCACAGTCATTGACCTCAACATTAATAGCTCGATTCATCGACTCATTCTGTGGCTATTTATTGCCATTATTTGAATGCGACTCACTCGGCACTAAGTAGCAAGATTTTCAGTCCCTGAGTTTCTAGTTAGTTAGCCTAACAAAAGCGCATAAAGCGAAAGATGGAAATCGAAAGCTGCGCTGAAAATGAAATGAAAACGAAAATATGAATAGATGAATAGCAGAAGAATAAAGCAGCATTTGAAAGAGACAGCATAAAGAAAGAATCAGCTGGGCGACACAAAAGGCACACACACACACACAAACACACGACAAGTCGTCAACAGATATAAAAAAAAAAAAAACACAAAAAAAAATCTCAATAAAAATTGTATACATTTATATATATATATAAAAAAAAGAAAAACAGAAAAAAGTCACCAACTTTCTAAGTGGCACAGCATCAACAGCCGCAGCAGCTGATGAAGAAACCAGAGCGAATCAGAGTCACCAATTGAGAGGCTGTATTTAGTGTTTAGCGATCCATTAATGTGTACGAACGTCCAACGACAAATGCTTATCGCGCAACAACAACAACAACAAGAACAGCAGCAACAATTGCAACTTCTGATAAAAACTCGCAGTTCACTGCGGCAGCAGCATTTGTCGCCAGTTTACACTTGTCGCAGCAACAACAACCACGAGCAGCAGCAGCAGTGAAAAATATATCTTTAAAGAGTTTAAGCAAAGAGTCAAATGATGCGTAAGTCAAGTGCCACGCCCCCACCCTCCTGAATGTATATTAACTGCCTGCAACAACAAACATCCTTACCATATATCCTTCTCCCATATATATATATATACGCACAGAACCCTCGTCTTTGTCGCTGGCCGAACGTCTCGCCTTCTTCAGCAGCCTCTGTGAGAGCGCCGCCTGTGGCAGTGGCGGAGCAACAGCAGCCAGTGGAAGCGCTCGCCTCTTCAGTCGTCCCAACAGCAGCTGCAACTCGCGCAGTCCGCCCATGGATCGCCTGGCGCGCAGTAGCACAGCGGGCAGCAGCGGCAATGTCACGCCCACGCCCATGGAATGCTCGCCCATCATCAACGACCTCAAGCAGGAGCAGCCAATGGAGCCAAAGCAGCCGCAGCAGCAGCAACAGCAACAGCAGCAAATGGAGCCGGAGCTGCCGCCTACGCACAATGGCTTCCATCAGCTGACTCGTTCGGCCACCGCGCCCACCTCCTCCACATCGACCGTAGTCACTACAACGACAACGACAACGCCGCTGCAGAATGGTGCGCCGCCAGCAACGCGTCGCATGCGGGTGCGCACAGTGGGCAAATTAGTGTTGCCAGCCACATTCCTCAGCGATCGCAGCAAGAGCGACAATAGCAACAGCAGCAACAGCAGTAATATCAGCAGCAGCCATCGCAGCAGCTGCATCGGACGCTTGCAGACGCTGGAGGACATACACATATCGATGGGAGTGCGTACCATAGGCAAGATCAAGTCGCCCTTCATCGAGCAGCAGCAGCAGCAGCGCCAGCAGCAACACCAGCAACAGCAAGATCAGTCGCAGCAGCAGAGTAAAGCAGCCAAGATGGATCAGCAGAGGTACAGCAATGGCGCCAGTGACAGCGGCTCAGACTCAGGCAAAGAGAATCAAGCGGCCAATCAACAGAAGCAGCAGCAACATCAGCAGGAGGCTCAGCAACGGCAGGACTTACGTCATAGGCACTTCTCGCATATCACCGTGCAGCAGATGCCACCGCAGCAGAGCATCAATCGTCGCCATACCACAGAGCTGTCCGGCAGTTCCATTGGCACCGTCTGCATGGGCAACAATCGCCCGAAGGTAAACGAGCGATACGCCAAATACTTTGGCCTAGACGACAGCAGCAACGGTCAGCTGCTCAAGACAGAGGCGCTCAACGAGCACGTGCGTGTGCCAGCTTCCCAGATGAGCAACAACAGCAGCAGCAACAGCAACAGCAGCAACAGCAACACCAGCATCAACAAAAGCAGCAGCAGCACCAGCATCTCCAGCAACAACAGCAACACCAGCATGGTGCAACGGCGTCGCGAGATGCTGAAGCGTACACGCGCCATGTCCATGGAGACGTCGATGTGCGATGGTGGCTCGATCAGTCCGACGGCCGTGCCGAGCGCCAAGCGGGCGCATTCGCCGGCGCACGGCTGCGGCGGACTGAACCGGATAGCTAGCTTTGAGGATATTGTGGTTACGCAGGACGAGCTGCATGCGGCCGGACACGAATTTAAGCGACTGTGTGGCGAGATTTTGGGCACATGAAAAATTGTAAATTTTTTGGCTAACCTACATAAAATTTCACAAATTTTTCGACACGTTTTCTCAATTAGCTTGGAGAACTAGCATGCAAATTTCTATTTCGATCGGCATTCCCTTTTCAAATTCTTGTGCGCCAATGGGTTGCAGCGTGAGCTGTTCTCCCTCTCCTTTTTTCCCCACCCCCAAACACCCTCATTGAAGGAAAAAAATGAATGTGCTCAATGTGATTTGTGTAGATGATAGTTAGAGATGCGTTCGCGCTCTCTTGCTCCACACTTCCTTAAAACGAATCGAATTATTCAAATCAATAAATAAAATAAAATAATAAAAATAAAAATAATATAAAATAAAAACAAAAAAACACATAACTAAAAACATCCCCAAAACGAAACGAAAACGTAATAGTTGTATATCAGATATATTATTACTATTATTTCCAGCAGAAAGAGGGGAAGATATATATAGAGAAAGAGGGAGAGATGGGGAAAGAGAAATGTATAATTAGGCCAGGGTCGGAGCACTTCCAGTAATAAACAGTTATTAGTTATGTTAATTATATACATATATACATATATATATCTACCTATATATTCTATATTCTATTCGATATAGTGTGCAACTACTTCTGTGTGTGTGCTTATTTATGCGTTTTTTTATTAATTATTTAATTATAAACGAATTGTACCTTAAACGGCATTAATTACATACATATTTAATTATACTTAATTGTATTATCTATGCGAATTGTTGAACGAGTAAATAAATGAAACAGTTATGCGTAAAGATCCATGTAAGAATTCACTTGAAACTGCATTTAACTGAGTAAGTACCAAGCACGCCTTTCTATGCACTTCTCACGGCAGTGTCTATGCATGCAATTGCCTATTTATGCCTGAAATTTGATTTGATTTTAGCTTGAAATGCTTTTTGGTAAAACAATTGTAGATATACCTATTCTCATAGATATGCGAGGGTTGCCTGAAAAATTGTTGACTAAATGTTTGTAACTAAATCTGCTTCGAACTTCACTTGAAGCTACTAACTTTTTCAGTCCACCCTCGCCATAGACATCCATTTATATAAAAATTGTTTCTTATCTAAATTTCCCTCCTCTTTTCATATAGCCAAGCCCCCTGATGCGCCCAAGGGCATATTGAAGAGCGGCAAACCCTTGGGCCTGGGCTTGCCCATGGGGCGTGGTCTGATGCCCATCGATCTGAACGCAGAGCTCAAGAATCGCCTGCAGCGCTCCACGCATGCAACTGTTTCGAATCTAAGGAAATCGGCGACGACGACGAATGCAACGCGCGATGAAACGGACAATGCAGCTGCAGCGGCGCCAACGAATCCTCAGCGCAACTTGGCACAAATACTGCGCAATGTGTCCAAAGAGAATGCCACGCCCACGTCGGCGCATCATGACGATGCCGTTAACCTAGTGCGCAACCTCACGTCGATTGGGGCGCCACGCCTCAGCGGCGATGCAGCTGGGAGCAGCAACAATTGCGCATCAGCATCCGAGGGCGAAAGCTCCGGCGGACGGGAGATCGATGCGATAATTAAGAATAGCGCCGTGGCTAGACGGCGACGCCAGCAGCAGCAGCAGCAGCAACAGCAGCAGCAACAACAACATCAGCCAGATGGGTGAGTCCTTGTTCAAGCTGGAGTCAACGCTAACTTGTGTTTTTGCCCTGTGCCGTGCGCTGTTAATGTATTAACCGTAATGCTAAATATGTGTATTACACATACACTCACACACACACATACACTGTGTCATACATGCATCAGTATGTGCGCTGTTTATGTATTAACCGTTAGCTACTAACTTAATTAATAAGCAGCCATAGTATATACATATGTATGTGTAAATACACAAAAGTACACACACACACAAACATACGTAGACAGAGTTGTATGTGCGTGTGTGTGCATCTCAAGACTGGTTCCATTTATGCAAAATTTATAAATATTTAAAATTACACCTAAGCAAGATATTTATAGAGTACATAAAAGCTGCTCGACTTTGGTATACCCTGTAATTGGAGACGTAAGAGTCCTAATTTTTATCAATGTTTCCATAAAACATTTTCTAATCGTCTGTCTGTGTTAAGCAATAATATTTCTATACTGATAAAAATCAAATATAATCAATTTCAATGCAAAGAACAAATAAAAGTTTCCTTGACAAAGTGAAACCCATTGCTCGATGCTATTATTGGCGACCTGTGCAACCGCCGCAACAGACACGACAGCAACAACCACAGCAGCAACAACAACGACAACAATATCAAATTCAACTGCAAGTGCTATATCAACAGCAACAACAACAACTACAACTACAACAAATTTTGTTCAACAAAAACTAAAAAATATACTTTGTAAAAAAATGTTTATCGACTAGCTAATAAGTTCAATTTGCATTGCTTACTAAATAATATTTAAAAACAAAAACAACAACAAACATTGAACAAAAATCTATATTTATTTATGGAAAAACTTAAATAAGTAACAAACTAAATTTTGCCACATATTTTTTGCGTGACACTGAAATAATAAATATTAATAATAAAGTTGACAAAAATCCCAATTAACTGTAGTTTTGTTTACAACTAATCCTGCTGTATTAATAGCATTCAAATGCCTGCATGTTCGTCAAAGTGAATAATTTAATTTGAATTGCGCGCGCTTCACCTACAGTTGGCATCGCTTGCTGATGTGGCAGCCCTGGTTATGCTAACTTAATTTCTGCCGGAATGTTTTCAGAACTGTATATTTTAATTCGAAAAACGCGCGCATGATATACAGCTGACAAAGCTTACATGTGTAGCAGCCCTGGTTATGCTAGATGAACTACATGTAGTCAGTTCTTTAAAATATAATAGGCGTGCACACTTATTGCAATTTACAACGGTTACAGGGATGTTAGTTTACATGGGTGATACAGTAGCCCTGGGTATGTTAAGCTAACAGACTGGTTTGTGTACATGCTTAACATAATTGCTCCTCCCATGCTTTGGATAAATATCAGCTGTACACTCTGTATCAGTTTGAGAGTCACTGTGGCTGGTATACTCTTGACTTTTGGGCTTTAAAATACATAAATATTTACGTTTGTAGGAATTAAAACATAATGTTTAATAACTGCCAGTCGTTACAGCTGTTGCTTACAATTGAGTAGTTGTTTCTTTATCCGAAGTACAAATTATATATAAAGAAACATTTTACACACCGTATGCTATTTCGCCGCAGTCAACGGTCGAATTCGCTGGGCGAATGTGATATTCATGTTTCGGTACATTTGTAACAGCAGACTTGCAGACGGTTAACATTGCATTAGCTAGTATTTTGGTTTCTGCACTTGGCGGGAGTAGACGTGTTGCGGACGACGCTCTTATTTTGTAGGTGTTTCCTTTCGATTCGCGCGCATTTTGTGCCGGTCGCAAATCGCAATTGAATAATGCACTTTTAATATTGTACGCGCGTGTAAGTGTGTGTGTGTGTTTGACTGTGTTACTTGTGCAAGCCAAAGGCAAATGCATAACTGAAATACAAAAATAACAGCAACAGCATAAAAAAGGAAGAAAAAGAAAAACAAGCTACGAGCGTCTACACTGTCAGCTGCATTTTCGCTTTTTGTGATCAGTTCTCAATTTAATTGCATCCAATAATTGGCTTCAATTGAAAGTGCAAGTTAAAATGGCAGCAAGACCCACAACGTCGTTGGCTTAATACAAAATCTGTAAATCGTGAGAGAAGCTTGCGGGCTGCATCGCTGTAAACAAAGGTTTGTAACTCCAGCTCTGAACACTGAAATCTTCGGGTAGTTTTTATGACTTGATAGAGCGGGATGAAGAACGCAACAGGGAGAGTGTGAGAGTGAGAGAGAAAGAGAGAGAGTGAGCGCGCAAATACAATTTGAAGCTGACCAGTTTTGCACAGACTGTTTGTCGCGTCCCCTTTTGCGCCCTTCTTTGTTACCTGCTGCAACGAGCTACACACAGCGAGCAGCAACAACAGCAATAACAGCAAAGATGATAAAAACAAAATACAAGTAAAAAATAACCCAAAACTGTAAATCGCCTTGTTCGCTTCCATTGAAATATTTGCTGATTCAGCAGCAGCAGCAGCAGCGACGCAGATTTCTGTTGTTGTTGTTTTAATATTCTTGTTGCTTTACTTACTTTTTGTTGCTGTTGGTTTTTTGTCTCTTGTTTGTTGCTGTTTATTTGCACTTGGACATTTGAGGTCTATTGCTCTTCGCGTATTCAGTTTTGTTTTTTTTGTTGCTGCTTACAACAGCGGCGTTACCTGCACCTAGTTAGTGCAGCTTTATACTGTGTAATGTAGGCAGGAAAGGGTATGCTGAGTTTATAGCAATTGCAGTAAAATGACTGTGGGAAAATAATAGTCTATTATACTGTGTAATTGAATGCATTGACAAATTTGAGATGTATAGAAAGAGACATTTCAATTGTAATTGTATGTACTAGATTACGATCTACAGGCATGTCTAGGCCTCTAGAATCACTTAATATTTCTTAGTATATGTTCAATTGCATTCAACAGTCGAGCCCATTCTTATAGTGCTAACTGCTAACTATTCCTCTTCGCTATACCATGATATCTCTTCTTCTTGGCCTAATCCTTCAATTATTATACATATATTTAACTCTTTAATGTTTTTTGGCTCAAGGTCTTAAATGCTTAACTGAAGCATTCGCTCGGATATTAATCACTAATCAATCACGCTCCCTCATTATATTTCGCACACAACAATTCATTTTATTGAACAAACAATTTGAATCGGTGGAGCTCCTTATCAGAGCAATTTGCCGTGTGTTTGCTGTATTTCGTAATATTTTGTTGTTTTTTGACCTGCCTTCAGGCAATTAAATAAACAAAAGTAAAACCAAAACCAAATTCAGGCACCAAAAAAGCAGAAACTTAAATGGAGACCGCAAAAAAAGATGCCTTTTCGCTTTTACAATGAATTTGCATAATTTTTGGTGGCAATGAGCGAATAAGAAAAACAAGAAAAATAAGTTAAAAATGTTGGGTATGCCAGACGCTGCTTTGATTTATAGCACACGGGCACATATGTATTTACATATAGTATATGTTGCATTAGATAAGTTGTCGATCCAGAAATAGACAATAAATTGCGCTTATCTCGAACTTTCCTTGTCTGACAATCGAAAGTAGTTTCAAGTGGCAATTGGTAAGTAGTCGTAGATATCTCTCTCTATATATATGTAGATAAGTGTAAGTGTAAACATTTATAGAAATGCATATGCATATATTTACGTTTTATACGTGTATGTACATATGTCTATATCTGTATATGTGCACGTTCTCAGGAGAAACGTGAGGCTCAATGCTAATGAATTAAGTCTACAGAAAGCAATAGAAATAGGGAAACACTCGGCGAGCTAATCGACTGTGTATGCACATATATGGTATAGATACAGACATACATGCATTCCTATAGATGTATATAATGTATATACATATATATATCTAAAATTTTAAAATTTATATTTAAATATTTTATCAGCAGCTGTTTGTCTGTCAGAATTCTAAGAGTCACTTTAAGTCTGAAACGAATTGATGTCAATGTTATACGAAAGGGTATACAAGTTGAGATATGTATGTAAACATGCATATATACACACAAATATATACAGATATACACATACAAACATCTAGAGCACTATTTGTTAGCTGCAGCTGTTTGTCTGTTCGAATTGTGAAGCTCTAAGTTGATTGATGTTCGAATATAACACTTTCGTTGTCTGCATACATGTATAACATTGTTTGCTGTGCTACTCTGTTTGCTGTACACATATACATATATATATATATATATATATATATATATATACATGCATACTTACATTTGTTAACTGCAGTTAGTCTGCTCAAATTCTAAAAGCTCTAATCTGATTGAGTCATGGGAAAGAGTATAACACTTTCGTTGTCTGCACACACACACACATATATAACACTGTTTACTGCTCTACTGCACACACACACACACGTACAGACTCGTGCAGCTGTGACCTCGCTGGCGCTCATAATTGAATTCATCGCCCGACTGATCGCACGCCATTGGGATAAATCTCCATACGCTGATGATGAATTATCAACGCTTTTAGTTGCCGAGCAATGCGTTCGTGGCCTGTGATCTATCGATCCGAGCAGTGCCATTAATGGTAACCTCACAAATGGAGATGCAGGCAAACTGGGGAACCGAGAAAACTGAAGTTTTTTTTGTTTTCCATTTTAAAGGCAGCAGGCCATAAATTATGAGTGTGTGTGTGTGTGCTTAACCCCGCCTGCTCTCTTCAAGCCAAATCAGATGCATTGGAGCATTAAGTTTTCTGGATAGCTATAAATACGTTTTCTCGTATATCTTGATCGAAACGAATGGAGTTGTTGTGCCAGCATCAGCATTCAAATCAATTAAATTCGAGTTGAAATTTAGGTTTTATTTTTATTTCGGCTTCCTCTAGCAGGAGTAGGAGGAGGCTGCTTTCATAGGCAGCTGGTTTCTAATTTCACTTGTTTAAAGTATTACACAATCCCAAGCAGAGAACGTTGACTCTATTGTCGCATTGTCTCTATGTTTCTGGTCTATTTATCTCGTTTACGCTTGGTTCAGCTGTTTCGACAACTTTTTGTCCAACTTGCATACCCTGTAAGCAACGGAAATGTGTGAGAAGAGGTGTGCTCACTTAAAGTAAGATCATTAATCATACTAATATGTGCATAGTTAATAATAACGTTAAAGGTTAAGTTTATTGAGGAAAATCGATTAGGTGTGGGAATGGGCATAATGGAGTTGGAATACTCTGTGTATGATGATATACTTGGGGGTATGCTGCTTGAGATATTGATAAATATTGAATTAGATGTGAGAATAAGCAAGGAAAAATAGAGTCTACATACTAAAAATAATGAAAATATTTATAGGCTTCAAATTTGTTGAGTAAACTCGATGAATATCGAATTAAATGGAATACAATTTATGTTGAGTAAAATATTAGGCTACCCTCGCATTATTTCACATCCGACTGAATTTGTATTCAATACTCTCCTCCGTCTTCTGTTTTCCACATAATTCGATTTATCGATTTTTGGCAATAAATTATTAAGCTCTTAATATATTCGTTAATTTTATATATATATGAATATATATTATTTTATTTTATTTATATGCCGATTTTTTTCGATTTTCACTTTTTTTCGCACATTTTTGGAGACGGGCTCAGCTCAGACTTTCCAGCTGATTAGACAATGTTTGCTTCCCAAATGCGCTCCTATTGGATTTTCATTTTATAAAAATCTGCTTTAACTTGAATAATATATGTTTTTTATTTTATTTTTTCTCGAACTCTCATTTGAGGGAATTAGCCAGAAAATATTAGAATTGTTAGGAGATTAGCTATAATTAGGTGCTTCGCTTTTTGTTTTACTTTTAATTAAGTAGAATTAGAGTGTGCACAAACATGTGAAGGAGACGCTGTGGTTGCTGTGGTAATTGTAATTGTAATTGTTAATCAGCTATCAGCTGCGCCCACTTAATTACTTTTTATTTTTAATGAAAATTAATTGCAAATTGTTGGATTACGCAAACATGAGAGTGTTGCAGTTGTGAGGGCACTGATCCAGACAGATTGAGAGTCAGTTGAGGAGGTTATGTCTGGCACGATGTTTCTTCTGTAATTTCTTTGTGTTTGTTTCTCTCATGTTCTATTTGCTGGCAGCCAAAATGTTGACAACTCATTAGCTCAACAGCTCAACCAGGGAGAGGAGAAGAAGAAAAAAGTAGATTGTGGCAGCAGCAGCATCCAGGCTTTGGTACAATGAACTTGGCATGCAAGATTGTTGCCCTGTCTGTGTCGTGGCCAGAGTCTCGGCTACTTTGTGGCACGCTGCATGCTGCATGCTGCACGTTGCACGTCGCGCTTTGTCTGACAACTGCTCATAAATCTGCCGTTGGCCGAGCGGCAAAGGCAAATCAACTGCTCCAATCGCCGCAGCAGCGTGTGCTTAGAGTAGAACTCCGACTCCGAGTCCAACTGCAACTCGAACTCGAACTCAGAGCCAGCTCTTTGTGTCGGAGTTTGCATTGTCTCTCGACTGTGTTATCATCATCGGGCATTTACTATTTCAGCATTGTCGTCGCTGTCTCTGTCCCTACTTCTGCCTCTGCCTCTGCCTCTGCCTCTGTCTATGTCTATCTGCACTGTTTCACATCTTCAGTTCATTGCATCTTCTGTTCATTCAATTCTCCTTTGTCTTGTCTGCCACTCCAGCTAGTTGATATATTCAGGCTATGCAGTCTGTGCCGGCCTCCTTGCTGTTTCCTTTTAGGGCCATTGGCTGCCAGTGTCTAACCACAATCAGCGATTCGCCTTCTGGGCGTCCTGTCAGCCCGCGTGACACACAATAAATGTTTATTTGATCAATTGAGTTGCATTCTGCAAGCCCTAACCATGCTGTGCCTCTGCTTTCAACTGTCTGCCTGTCACTCAATCAATTAGATAGAATTGGTGTTGCTGTTGCTTCTGATTAGATAGGCATTGACAGCGCATCGCATCGCCTGACAGTTGTTCTCCATAATCTAATATAATCGGATAGTAAATGTTTATGCTGAAGGGTGTCTGTCCCCCCTTTATAGATATTCCTGTCAGCTGTTGGGCAGGGTAGCTATTAGTCTATCACTGCCGCTTAGCTCTTATATGGTATTCAAATGATGTAGCTACTTATTGCTCTGTCAGCTGGAACTCTGTGAGGCAGGAAACACAAATTACCGTGGGGATGCAGCCCATGCTGAGATGGAGATTATAGCTGCAAGCTAAATGCTCGTAATTGCCTTCGCCACGTTGCCACTTCCTTAGCGGACATGCCACACGCTATGCAGCATCCTCTGGAAAACATGTTCGCTCCTCTGGTTAATCGGTTATTAATGACTTTGGCGCAATTAAGTAACGAACACAATGGAACAGCAACAGCCAAAGCGTTGCACTCGAATCGCCGTCGTCGCATCGCAGGCAGCAACGGTCAGCAGGAGGCGTTGCAAGTAAAAGTTGCAAACCGCAAGTGAGGCACATTGCATTAAGAAGAAGAAGCAGACAAAAAAAAACATACCAAAAAGAAAACATGCAAACACACACGCCTTAAAATGTGAAAATGCGAATGACCCGAATACACAGACGTGTGACGAGACACACACACACACACACATTGAAATTGAGAGTATGGGGCGCATGCGCAACGAGCTACAAGCGCGGCAAAGTGACACACGCAGACACACACACACACACACACACGCACGCTGATCAACGCGGCGCATGCGCAACGCGCAGCAAGCGGCAAGCAAATGCCTTAAAAGGCAGCAACGCCGCCGACGATTTCCTTTTCTGTTCGGCTTTGGTATCATTGTTGTTGTTGTTGTTGTTGTTGTCGCCGTAAAACTAGTTTTGCGTACAGCATTTTGCTTTTTTTCTTGAAATTTTTATTTATTTCTGCTTTTGGGGACAACTTGAGCACTAGCTAGCTGCACCTGCACCTGCACTGAGTTGGCCAGTTATCCCACACACACACACACACACACACAACCGCACAACCACACTCACACTACATGCACTTTTATTTATGCAAAGTATTCAATTGATTTGCTTGCTTTGTTTGTTATGCTTGACTCTTGACTTTGTTTGGCTTGGTTCTCGCATTCGATCCAGTGAAAACTTTATGGAAACTCGTTTAGCTGACTCCGTCACGTGGGCTGGCTGCATAGCCATGCCGCCTCCTATTTCATCACCGTGTAGAATCGCACAGGTGTGTCTGCGTATGTGTCTGTGTGTGTGTGTTTGTAATTATATTTCAACATAAATTAGCCTCAAATAAGCTGTAGAATGCATAAACAACAAACAAAGAAAGCTCCAGCTGGGAGTGCTCGACCTAGAGATACCCTGTTTGCTGAGCAGAGATGCCTCTATGAGGTCTGCTGGTTTAATTTGGAGTCACAGGCAGGCAAATGGCTAGCTCGACTCAGCTCATCTAGATCTGGTTTATATATACTTGATATGCTCTGCTAGGCCTTCTTCAGCCTGTTGCATACTCTTTCACAAAGTTATCATACCCTAACTCCACATTTTTAATGCATACAGGCTATAATTGAGCTTTCGTGCTGATGAGGCTGACGACAGACTAATCTTTGCATATAAGTAAAGCTCTACTCTAATCTCAACCCAAGTACTATATACAGACAAGATGTGTTTAGGTAGCAAGAGTCTTTCATTTATTCTTAGCTTAATAAATTTTAAGCTCTGCTGGAATTTGCTTGATTTAATTATAAATAATATGTAAACTTTTCTCTCTCGCTTTCTATGCGACTTGAATTAATGTGGTTTATCAAGGTGTTTTAATTATCACACGTTAAATATTTATTGCTGTGGCAGCTTAACGATTAAAGCTCCTACTTCATTGCCCCTCACGTCTAAGACACTTTGCTGCAACTGGTTTTATTTTCCATTTCTAATGCTTATTAGCTGCATTCAGAAACCTGCTTGCCCATGCCTAAAGCGTGTGCAGCACGGCCAATAAAACGCATTAAAGAATTTCTGCACCATTGTTGGATACCAAGAATAACAATCAAGATCCAGATCCAGATACACATAAGACTGCGATCTTGACCATATAAATTACTGCTTCGCATACCATGCCAATTGCGCTAATAAATAGCCACCTGCTTTAGGCCAACAGATGCTAGGTGTGTGTGTGTGTGTGTGTGTCTGCCTGAGTCTCTTGGAGCCCTAGACAAGTTCAAAGCGGAAACTTTGAGAAGCTGCCGCACATAAAAGGCGCACACTCAGCTCCATAAAAGGCAAATGTGTTGCCCAATCGTGTTTGCCAAATGCGTCTGATTATCTATCTACCTGTCTGCCTTATATAGCCTATCATTTCCAATAGCCAAACACATTAATTTCTAGCTCAGAGTACCAAGAATTATTTGAGAAGCGTTTCTTTAATCGAGTCTTTTATAAGCATCATCATTTTTCAATAGATTTTTTATATAAATGTTTTTGTTTATTTAAATTTTTTCTTATCTGGTCTCCAATTATCGTTGAGTGCTAATAAAGACGGGAGAGTCTCTGGTAGATTATCTCGAAATTCTTTCGCGTTGATGTGTCTAAGTAGCGAAGGTCAGAGAGAAGCAAGTGCTATAATCGGAACTGACTGACTAGCAAATGCACTAAACTATATATGGAAATGCCTGACTAGCAGGCGCCCTAGGCTCTAATTGAGACTAGTAGGTACTCTGAGTAAATTTGTATTGTATAGATATACTATACTATACTTTACTATATTATACTAACTACTAACTTACTAACTACTATAACTGTTGTATAGATATATGTGGACAAACAGTAAGTGATTCTCTATGCTTCCTATTAAAAAATTAAATAAATATGTTTACTTTATTGACTCTACCGATCGCTCTCATGTTATGTTACAGATATTTGATATAGAAAATCATTATACCCCTTATATTAATTGGCATTTTCTTCAGAGTATAATTACTTTCTTTAGCTAATATAGTTTGTAGTTGTTATGCAATATCAACTTATCTCTCCAGTCTAGAAATTCTTAGAGAATTTAGAAAGTTGTTGTTGCTGCTTATACAATGTTGATCTCTTCTGGTTTTTGACATGTGCTTTAAATATATATTTTGATAAATATTTGCTGTCTAGTGTTAGATGGTTAGCTCTTGAAGAGCTTCCCAAAGAAGTTGACAATGCGCTTTGGCATTAGTTTAGCAAGTTTAAAAGCTGCTTGAACTGATCCTCGAGATTGGCCGGTGCTTCCGTGGTCACTGGCTCCGCCGTGGTTGGCGCCTCGGTGGTCGTCGTTGTCGTTGTGGTCGTTGTCGTTGTTGAGCTGCTGCTGGTGCTGCTGGTGGTGGTGGGTATAGGTTTTGGGCTCATTCGACCATCGAGACAGGCCTGCAGGTAGTTGTAGTTGCTGGCGGTGGACTCCACGTAGCTGCGCTCGGCCTTGTTGTTGCACTTCTCATGATTCAGATCGATTAGGCGATAGCGTTCCTGCAGCAATGTGGCCGACTCAGAGGCATTGCCCGAAATGCCGTAAGTGGAAATCGTATTGTTGGAGCCCTATTGGGGATTACATTGAGATTTAGCTTCACTCTTGACATACGCTGTCATTTCTACTCACCGCTGCCGCATGGCAATTGAAGGAGTCGAGCGTGCCGTTGACCTTGTTACACTTAGTTAGTGCCCTACACACGGATTCGGCAGATAGTTCGATGCTCCTGCGAGTTGGCAGGAAGTCGATGTCGATGCCGCGACGTGATCTCTGCGCGTCCTTCAGACAAGCGCTGTAGGCTCCACTGTACTGCTCCGCAATGAGATTCGATTCGCCAATGTAGCCAGCAAAGCAAGACATCGAAATCATCGGATCGCGACGCGTCACCCGAGAGCTGAAGAACAGACGGGTCAGACCATCCTGGGTGGGCATGCCCACATAGGGAGGCAATGGCTTCATCAATGCCTCGGTAGAGGCGACCATCATTGCGGCCAGGATTATCAGAGGCTTAACCGATCCCAGAGACATGTCTGCAGAGTTTAGAATGTGAACTGCTTTTGGCGCAGTGCGTCTATTTCGACTCGTTTTTATATGCAGACTGAAGATGTCTGATAAGCTCATTATGTGATCTCTCCTTCGTTATCATCTTGCGAATTTTTTAATTTTTTTTTTTCTTTTTCGTAAATGAAACTAGATAAATAGACCTCCATCCGTACGCTTGTTTATTTACAAACGCGTCATTCATCAAATGGTGTGTGGAAACTACGTCTGAGATTGTTTGTCAAGCTAGTATTCTCTATGGTCTATTTGCAGACATCTAAGAAAACGCTAATTGCACTTTTATTTTCGTTTATTACATTCATAATCGGCCGTAGTAAGTTGACGCTGCACAGTGTTGCAGTACCCAGAACTGATGTTTGCTTTGCGCTTAGCGAAAGATAAACCGAAATTTATAGCAATTTCCGTTGATTTGCTACACAAATATATATCTGTCTCACTCCACCAACGTGTTGATGCTCGATCTCGGCAAATATTGATCATGTGAGTCAAATGATCTAATTTAGATAATGTGCTGCATGATGCATCTGCGGTTGCAGTTTATCTAACCTACTTTATGATAAGCCCATTCAAATATCCCCTTAAAGGGACTCCCATATTGTCAGGGATAACTTTAAGTACTTCTCTCAATTAATCTTACTCAAAATACTTCCTTTGTGAGTCACGAAACTTCTCTAAACCCAATGAAACAACTCGAGAAACTCTTTCATCAAATTCATATTGAAATCTTGCACGTATTTGTATAAGTAACAACCATATCCTTTTTAGGATCCCTGAATTTATATGCTAGGTACTTTATGTTACGTATAGAATGGTACTTTCGTAATGCCACACAAAACTAGACCGATGCCTATTTCAATCTTGGCCTTAGGGCTATATGCATGCCCGTCGCTGAGCGCAATATGAAGTTCATCATGGGTCTTATCTCTGGGCCCTTTGGCAGCAGCTCGTAATAGCGTACCACCTTGCTGAGCAGCATCTTCATCTCCAGCATGGCAAACTTTTGGCCAATGCAGTTCTTGGGTCCAGCACTGAATGGCAAATAGGAGAAGTTGGCAGCTTGCGGCTTGCCATCTACCTCTGCCGTGTCGTCCAGGAAACGCTCTGGCTTGAAGCTGAACGGGTCGGGAAAGTATTTTGGGTCCCGATGCGCAAAGTAGAGCACCATGTAGATGCTGGTGTGTGCCGGTATTATCTGATCGCCAATCTTGAGATCCTTTCGCGTATATCGGCCAACCGCTGGCACCGGCGGGTAGAGCCGCATCGTCTCTTTGATAACGCACTCCAGATACTTGAGCTGCTGCAGCTGCGACTGGCTGATGGCGGCCCTTGGATCGTTGCCAAGCACTCGCACCAGCTCCTCATATATCTTCGCCTGCACAGCGGGATGCCTGGCTATGGAGTAGAGAGCATGGGCCACTCCGCTGCTGGTCGTATCATCGCCCTCGAACATGAACGTGTCCACCTCCTCGCGTATGTCCGCATCCGTGAGCGGGCTGCCTTGAATGGAGGCTTGAAGCAGAATATCCAGGAATGCCATTTGCGGTTTTCTGCCGATTTCCTCATCGCCCAGGCCTATATGTTGGGTTAAATGAGAGAGATGATCATTATTTAATTGTAATGGTTGTTAATAATTAAGTGTAATTCAAGTGTTATCTCGGCTTACTCAACGGTTTGTAGGTGCCGTCGGCCTTGGCTCGCTCCACCGCCTCGCGTCGCTCGCGAATGACCTTGTCGGTGAAGTCATGCATGATGCGAATATCGCTCACCAGTTTCCTGTGTAACAATGGAGCCGTAACTCTAAAGAGCCACTCATAGCGCTGAGAGAACTTAAGCATGCGATCCGGCTGGATGTAAACGACGCTGAAAGTTTGCACAATTATTACGTTACGTTACAAATGCCCGCTAACTATTCATTGCAAAAATGCGGTAATCGCTCTGTAGGCATACTCAATAAAAAAAAACCCGTTTAGTTTCACACTTGACTCCTAACACTGTTCACAATTTAATTAAACAGTTAAGTAGAGCTCATCAACTAGGGTTGGCTTTTTAACATCTATATAAAGGGCGCGAACTTTTTATCGATATATTTTCCCATGAAGCTAGGAGAATTTTGAGGTCGATGTACGCTGTTATAGAGTAAAGAGATCAAGATCAAGAGATCAATTGGTTCTGCCATAGAGTTACATTTTTTTTAGAGATCCTTTCTTCCTTAGGATCTATACATAGGGAAAATCTAGTTCATCCTCACCCCATCAGATTTCTTGTATTGAAACCCCTCTGGAGACCCCATTTACCCCTTACCAAATCTAGGTATCCAAGAGTCTTACCTCTTCAACGCCTTTATATAGGGAAAGTCAGGATCGCTTTGTGCATTTACCTGCACGCCCATGGCCGTCTCTAAGCAAATTATACCACATTTACTTCTTGAACTGCTTACACAAACTGAGCTACGCACCTGTAATAATATCGAGGGCTGCCAGCGATACATATTTGAGCGTGTCCACCACCTGTTCGCCATCGGCCACTTGCTGTAGGCTGTCCACCAAAATGTCGGCCTGCTTGTCCATAATACCCACGTAGTGCTCCAGTATTTTGAAATGGAAAACTGTAGAGAAGACTTTGCGCCTGGAGTGCCATTTCTTGCCCACGCTCACGAGCAGTCCGTCGTTGAGGAAGGGGCGCAGGAACTCATATAGCTGGCCCTTCTCCAGCAGAGTGGTGCTACTCAATATGGCCTCAAAGTGTTCCAGTTGCGTCGTGTAGACCTGCGACTCGTTGAGTATCCACAAGCGAAAGGTCTTGCCATAGCTGCTGAAGCAGCTGCCAACATAATCGATGATATCTGGGCGATGAAGAGAAAGTTTATAAGAGCCAAGACTGGAATGCAAACTAGAACTCACTGTCGGCGCCCAGCTGCAGTGCCTGAATGCCACATCCGACCAAGGGCAGCGACAAGGGGCCCGTAATTCCCGATTTGCTCAGTACGGCATAGCTGTGGCGCTTGCATACAAAGTCCCAGGTCAGCAGCAGGGTCAAAGCGCCAACTAGTAAGGTCAGCAACATGTTAATAAAAGCGCGCACAGATTGAGCTGAGTTGCTCGGAACGGAGATTAAGAGACAAATGTTTGTATTGAAACAGATTCACTGCTATGTTGTTGTCACCGCTGCGTGCGCGACTTGACTGTGCTATCTATCTAGGTGCTAGCCGGGCTAACCCGGGCTGCCTCCAGAGTCGCGTCCTACTCAGAGTCAGAGTCAGCGAAGCGCATTGTTAGCTTAAATTTTATATAGAGATTTACTTACACCAAACTGGTTTTGATTCGATGTCGTTGCAGCAGTGTTACACCCCTCTATGCATCTATAGCCGGACCGTTTAAGTGTGAGCTGTATTCTTGACTTATAATTAGCTTACAAATGGACTAGGGAAAATTATCTAGTTCATATTGATAATTAATATTCATCATTAAAATTAATTATATAAATGCATTCGACTTAAAGTGTCAATGTCAATTTAACTGTGAACTTGCAACAACCTGAGTAATTCTACTACCTTTTTCTCTCTGTGTATCAAATCATTATTTGAACGGCACCCAGCTTGAGTTGTTTGCATTGTGGAATATAAATACAAAAAAAAAAAAAAAACGCGATCTAAATAAATGAACCGTATTATCAGAGAATTTATTAGAATAATCAAATGATTTTTTGTTCAGTACCCAACATAGAAATACCCTGCCCTTAGGTGACAAACTGTTGTAATATTATAGGCTTTCTGCCTCTTAAGTTTGATTATTAAAAAAAAATTAAAAACATTATTAAGCAATATAACAAAATGCTGTTGAAATGTCTAGTCAAAGTTGAGAAATACTTCAAAGCGCCTTGGCTTGCTCTACAATTAAACTGCGCCCTGTTTGCTGCAATGTAGATTCCATATTAAATTAGCTTTGATATATGTAAATGAATGATAAGAGTCAATCCTACAATACCTAAGCCCAGTGTCAGGTTGATTAAAAACCCAGCACAGGCAGCAAACGTGTCAGCTAAAGAAAGGTTTTGTCAACCCGGCAGTGGAACCGAAACAGCTGTGGGGGTCGAGCTACAGTTGAATGGACTGCGACGACGACTGCGACTGGAACGGCGACAACCGTTGTTTTAGTTTTTTAAAGTTGTGTTGAACTTGTTTGCAGAGTTCATGCCAGTTGGAGTTGGAGTAGGGCTAAGGGCAGAGAACGGAGTACGACTTGGGGGCATACACTCGAGTACACTCAATTAAGTCACGGCCAAGGCAAGAACGAAGCGAGCGCACCGGATATGTTTATTGCGTGGGCTGGGCCAGCGAATCAAACAAGTTATCAAAGTGTCGAGAAGCCAGTCCGTTCTGTAACAGACTGACAAAACGGTAAACCAGAGCGTCACATAAGAAAACCCGTCAACACGTTCAAAAATTGTTGTTGACTCATGATTTTCCCATGAAACCAGCGTGAATCGAAATCAAAACCGGAAGATTTTTTTGTCTTTGCGCAGACTTTACGACAAGCTGAGGGAGTGGCCGGCAATCAATAGCTGCTGCCCGCATCTGTGGATGAAGCTGAAGTGCAGCAGTTGCACGTGCGGCACGTCTGGAGCAACAACCCAGCCGCACAACATCCCCAAATATGTATAGAGTTGGAGGTGTGAGGGCAGCACTGAAAATGAATGAAATATTTCCCTTTGTCGTCTGTGCGGAGTTTCTGACATTTGCCAAAAATGCATTTTCATGGCTCTTAGTCGAACAGTCTGCTACTCTAGCCACTTGCTGGAACACCCACTCAGTCCATGCTCTCTCTCACACTCTGTCTCTTCCTTCTCGTTTCTCTGCAGAGCCAAAGTTATCGCCAGCTAACAAAGAATGGAGTTTGTTTGGTATTGGTTTTTGGTATCCCCGGCAACCGGCAAACGCTACAAAAACACGTCTGGGCTAACCCCAAGTGGGGATGGGGGTGGGGAGTCTGATTTTAATGGGGGTTGCTGCGTTTGCATGCAGCACGTGTTGTCAGCTCTGCGCCGGTCCGCAACAATGCAAAACAGCTGTTCCAATGTTGCTGGGGAACATGTTGCTAAGGTCATTGAATTTAATAAAATGTTGCTGAAATGTTACTAATAGTTAAATACATGCTGCCAGCTTGCTTCTTGCTAATGGCAAAAACAATACTCAGAGCGTAGTAAGATACCTTAGCAAAATGTTGCTAAGATCATTACTAAAATGTTGCTAAGGCTGGGTAAAACCACAAACCAATCAAATGTTGCCATAACTTAGACTCATGCTGCCCACTTGCTACTGCTTTACAAAATCAAAATGTAAATATTAAATTTTAGCTATCTCGCCTCAGTTTAGCAGTTACTAAAATAGAATTCTATGGCACACATACTTACATTATCGGCCGCCTTGAACTTGTTTTAAATACCTCGACCATGCATAGAATTTAATAATAATTTTGCTGAAAAATTGTTAAATAAAAATGCCGAAATGCTGAAACGTGGCCAAAACAAAACAAAATGCTACAAACGTTGGCTGGCTACAATTCAGAGTCAGAGTCAGAGTCAGAGTCAGCGAAGGTCAGTCTAATGAAATGTTAAATGCGCAAATGCTCGAACAAAAGCGACTGGCGAATCGGGCTTGAGGCGAACTGTGGGGCAGGTTGGAAGATGTAAAGATCGCGTTGACGTTGTAATTTTGCATAATGACGCACATCGAGGGAGCTGGGGGAAGTTGGGAAAGTTGGAGGAGTTGAAATGAAATGCCGCGTGGGAAAGCGCTGGGCCACGATCTTCAGCTGAAGTGGACCCAAAAGAGTCTCGTGATGACACTTGAACAGTTCACAAAGTTTAGCAAATCTTTTGCAATTGTGTGCTCGGGTTGCACAAGTTTCATTTGGGCCTGAGTGCGATGTCTATGATTACGATTGGACAGCGTAAGCTGCAATGCGATCGGCTGGGTTTCTAGCTTTGCGGTCTGGCTACCAGTGTATCGAATATATCGTATAATAATTAGACAAGTGCGAACTTAGCTCGAGCCGTAACCTTAACGCGCTGCACTCTAGTCTCACCTTGCTGCAAACCGCGTCGACAACTGCTCAAGTTCGTGCTGAAGATCTTTGGATTTGCTATTCAAGGAAGCCTCGCCTGCCTTACTTTATATTGGCTGATGTCGCGCCTCGCTTAAGACTGAGATGCAATTGTTTATGCCGTGGTAAGCGCCGTTGTTATATCATTATTCAGTGGATCGCGTGTTGCACATAAATTTTAATTGCGAATTATGAATCGCAAAATGTGCATAATTCAATTACAAAACATTTCGAACTCGAGTCGGCAGCCAAATGATGCAATTTATAACATTTAGCAGTTTTGCTGTCAGTTTTCAAAGTTTTTCACAGCTTCATTAGGTAACCGCAGTGAACTCGACCGAATAGGGAATTCAAACTTGTTTCTGGGCTGGCAGCTGGGAGTTGGGTGGGCTGTCAGCAGACCGGCCAACCGACCACACCTTGGCCGGCCACTCAAACTAATTGAACGCTAAATTGTTTCAATATCAATTTGTGCATTTAGTGTTTAAACAAAGGAAGGCCTCGCCGCGAAAGGAGCTGGGCTGAGCTAAGCCAGACCTTCGCGTGTGCTGTGAACTTCGACCTATTACTCCATTACCTATCGAACCATCAGAAATTGTGAGCGCATGCAATTCAAGTATTATCTACGCTTTTACTTTGATTTACACTGAAAGAAAATAAGAGGTTAAGTAGTGAACAATTTAAAATTGGATAAGACTTTGTTGAAATATTGCTTGACCTCTAGAAACATTCTGCTTATGATCTAAAAATATTTATAAACTATAAAGTGACAGCATTTACTTAAAAAATTTATAAAATCGGAATCAAATTCATTTCTAGTTATTCCAAATAGTTATCTAGTTTTAACTCTATAATTCTGCATCTAAATTTGATTTTTAGTTTCTTAACCAAAACTTCGTTCACTTCGACTTCATTCAAATTGCAAAAACCTTGATTTTCTGCCAATCTCGTTTGGTCGTGACTTCAGGTAGTTATCCTGCTCTTTTGCACCTGGTGAACTTGTGGCAAATTTTGACCTGCTTCTCCCGCTTTGAGTGTCTGTCAACAGGCTGTCAAATTTTCCAAATTAATATGCAATTTAACTGTCAGGATTTTGTGTTTACCTGTGCTCGGCGCTAGCCACTGTTGGCCAGGTGTTGAGTTGCGATGGCCGTTGCAAGCAGCGTTCAATCGTCTACGGACATTTGCCACGTTCAGTTCGCACTCTCTCGCTCTGTGCAACTCCAGTGACTCTACAACTGTGCCGCAGTCTTATCTACCAGACTTTAGCTTTATAGAATTGGTAAGCATCAAAGAAAACTGTAAGTTATTGTGATATTTTTTTCACTCACGCTGAGCATCAAAATTCGTCTGCTGGATGACTAAGGCTTAAAGTCAAAGCTAACTGTACGAGCTACAGGCCAATTGTGTTAGCTAATGACCATACGAATTGTATCCAATCTACTTATTTCATGTTATTTTCATCTCAAATTAGCTTTACCTGTTAGATGAGTAATGAGAGTCTATAATGAAACGAAGCTGAACTGAAAAGACTGTGAAGCAACTGGAGTTGACTCACTAGACGTGTTTAAGAGTCTGAGAACTTTAGGCGAGGTTAAAGGCTGTTAGATTATATACTTGGGCCATTATGGAAGAACGTTGATTATACTCATAACTAGAGTGACTTTTAGCCTAAGAATCTATCCAATAGTTGTTCATGACAAGAAAACTTCGCTTAATTAAATCTATACTTAAGATTTTCTATTAAAAACATATCGAACTAAAATGCTTTCCTGACATTTATAAATTATACGGCCAGCTCTATGAAAGAGTAGAGAAAGTTGCCTGGAAAGTCTAGCGGCGATTGCTTCCTGTGTTGTAGTATGCAGAGAGTTATCAGCGCTGGGTCGCTTGATCCTCATTAGTGGCACAGAAAGTGCTGCATCACGAGTTTGTTATTAATGGAATGGATAGAATGGGGCGTGTAACGTGTAGCTGAATGCCGATTGCTGGTTGCATTTGATGTGCGAGTATCTGTAAGATACGATGCCACACACACACACACGCACACACACACAGCTGCACACATATTGTAACAGTCTGTCTCTGTGTTTATCTCTTTGCAGCAATCTCATTGCGAAAAGCAAAAGTTACTCGGGCATAGCCGGCCCCCAACTGCCGCCACTTAATGCAGGTGGGTTTGTGAAGTTGCGTCATGTAGATACCGATAAGCCGCACACATCAACGCAATCGCAGCCAGATAAGCAAGAGGATACAGCTCTCAACAAAGACGACGCCACTGCAGTAGAAGTAGAAACTGAGGTGAGTTGATTGTCTGACACACTCCCACACACACACACACACACACAATCGCATCGACTACAGCCTTCAATCTCTGTTTGCTCTTAGATTATGGGTCCCGATCAGCGCAATATTGCCAAGACGGGCTCCATCGCCGATCGCTTGGCCGCACTGCAGAAGAGCGGCGAGGATGACTGGAAGAAGCGCATCAGCAAGCGCGATGAGGTCGACGATATTTGTCGGGAGAATTTTGTCAATGTGAGTACGAATAGTTTTGTGATTGACTTTATCTTTATACGGCCAATAATGGTCTGTTGGCAACGAGTTTTCCTATTTTGTTGCCTTGTTTTTATTGCCATTTCAATTGCTTTCGCACTTGCGTGAAAACTATTTCCTTATTGTCGCTTGCAACAATTTTTTTTTTTGCAATTATGCGCAACGTTTGCTGCTAGCTAACTTGAGTTTAATTTCTCTTGCCTGGCTGCAGGCTGTTAGCCAAGCGTTCAAACGAGAGCCAGTCGAAAAGTGTGAATGCTGCGAGCTGCAGTCGGTCGCAATTCAAATAAAGCAACAATGAACCTTACATTAAATTTTAGAAATTCAAATCTATATATATTATAAACATATTGAATATTTTTATATAATTTTATATATATTTTTCATTTAATTATCATTGATATATTAATTATTTCCATTAATAATTGTAAGCCAATGTCGTATATTTTACTTGCCAAGCACTAAATGGCCGCTGCCTAACGCTAGATGGCGCTATTAGATGGTTGCCTAAAAGTATGCTACGATTTTATTGCTTTCTATTATTTCTCTATTGAAGTTTGCTGATCATTTGCCTGAGCTTAGTCTAGAGAGAATGTAGCATGAAAAAAAAAAAACAGTTTAAATAAAAAACAAATGAAATCAAATGATTGGAATTGAAGCATAAATAAATATAAAAATTAATAGCTAAATACCATGTATAAAATTTACAATATATATCTATCAATATGTATAGAGAATTTTTTCGGCAGAATTTCAAGAAAGTTTGTCAGAGTTTTTATAGGCAGACAATCCGATTTGCTATGAAGCTTTTACTGTACTTCTGCTATTGCTAGCCTGGTTAAGTGTACTGAATTTGGCATTTTACTTTCGTTTAACGGCTGCGCGCCTGAATTACCAATTACCTGGCGTACTTTTTATGGCCAGGTGACATTTTGTCCAAGCACTTGCAAAAAAAAAAAAAACAAAACAAAACAAAACAAAAATGAAAACATCTATATATTGAACTTCAAATAAAATCCGCCAAAGCTGAGTTGAGTGAACTTTTTCTGATTGTCTCCTTTCTCTGTTTGCCTTATTAAGCGCGCTTTACGCCGGGGCCTATAATTATGCGGGTCTGTTGGGTGTTCAAAACATACATTTATGAGCACCTCCCTCGCGCCCCCGCTCCATGCCCAACCGTCTGTTGTACTCTAATGTACAAGTAATCACATTTAATTACGCTGGCCACGCCTTTTTGGGCATCATCATAATCAACGTCAACAGCTGCCCCTGTTTGACTCTATATACGGCTGTGGCTTCATGATTTGGGAGAAATTTTCTGGGCAAAATTCATGTCAAACTGTTTTGAAAGATCTAACCCAGGGGATGTGGGCACGAGTCAAATGAGTTTTGAATTGTCGTTGTTCACGCTTCTTGAAGTTCGAGTTGCCTACAAGAGCAGCTAAAGATGTAAATGTAGATAGAAATACATACATACATATATGTATGTATGTATATAGTACATAACTAGAGACTGAAGCACTTGACGCCTGCGCCACACTTGTGACAGTGGGGCAAGGCCATTGGAAAGTCAATGAAAAGTTATTGAATGAATCAGTCTATGTTGTAGATTATATCAAATATTATATTATGCTTCGGGTTTGATTAGGTTTATGCATAAAAATGGCTTCAGCTGCCATCCAGCTGCTAGTCTATAGCTACAACTAATCTAGTCTTAGTCACAGTGACTCAGAATTAACAGACTTAAACTAATTTTACCTAAAGGTATTAGTGTTTGCTATACTCTATTCCTAATTGCTCCAGCTTGAGCTAATTAAATATATGAGCAATCTCTAACTATAAATATATAGGAGTCGAATTAGTTATCTAAGCTAAAAGCTCACATTTCTCCGTTCTTAAAGGGAATTCGATTCAAATCATAATAATCAAGTGGCATTCATCATCGGGCCACGTTCGCTAAGCATATCATCATAATCATCTAAGACAGCGCAACTTTATGGAGGGCCTACGCTGCTGCAGTTGCCTGCCAACTTGCATTTCTTCATTTTTTACTATCGAAACTTGCCTTGTGGGCAGCAACAGCAACCAGCAACAGCAACAACAGCAACAACAACAACAACAACAACAACAATTATCAAATAAAAAAGGATGGAACTGAAGGCGGCGGCTGTTGGGCTGTGTTTGGGTTGAGCTGTAGCTTCCACTCCATTTAGCTCGCTGCCTCTAGATGTGCCTCCGTCTCTTTGTAAAGGCAGCCTGGGCTGACTTGCTGCCTCTACTCCACATACGCCCCGTCGCCCTGCCCCTGACTATTGCCTCTGTTGTAATTCTTGATGCTGCTGCTGCTGCTGCTGCGGCTTGTTGGTTGGGTCCAGCTGCTGTGGCTGCTGCATTTGATCTGTGGCTTGATCTTGAACGTGCTCATCTGCCAAGCAAAGGCCCCAACATCCAACTGGGCTTGGCCTCGCCTTTGCCTGTGCCTTTGCTAGTGCCTTCCTCTAGCTATTGTAAATTGTTTTACTGAATTTGATATACTTGCTGCTTTGCCCAGACTCACAAACACACACATACACATATATACATACACATATATTTATCTCTACATACACGCAGCCCCATCTCTCGCCCCTGCTTTGGGTAGTTTATGTTCGTGTATTGTTCGCTTGCTGTTGCGATTATGTTGTTTTTTCTTCCTCTTCTTCTTCTGCCTAGCTCTGATCTGCTGTACTTGTTCATTAGTCCATGCCTCGCCAAGACGCAGTGACAGTAGCTAGTTGTTGTTATTGTTGTTTTTGTTTTGTCTATAGAAAAAAGTTCTTACAAGCAAGTTGGGTCGCATTCATGTGCCCCTCCCTGCGTTGCCCCGCCCCGTCCCGCCTTGCTCAGTTGCTGTTGTTCGTTGCTGATTATTTTTGGTGTCTTTATGTGATTCATTATTTTCTTTTGCACATTTCTGTTCTGCTGAAGATAAGCTGACTATTTATCCGACTTGATAGCCTTGCATCATCTTACATATACCATGATATAATATATATTTTGTATATATGCCATCGGTCTGAAAGATTGCTTCAGACATGATTCATGTTTTCTTCATGATTTATCCAAAAATTTCTGTGCATCAGGCCCTTCGTCACTAAAATTTGCAATCTCTCTCCCTCCCTTTCCCTCGCTCTCTCTCTCTCTCTCTCTCCATCACTCTCTTTCTTTTTTCCCCTGTCTGTGATCTCTCCTGGTTGCGCTCAGTTTAATTTAAATAGTCTGTTTTCATTGTCTGTCGCCTGCGAGGCAGCAACAACAACAACAACAGCACTTGACTTGCTACGCTCACTCTCCCGCTCTCACTCTCCCACTCTCTCTCACTCACACTCACACTTTCAAAGCCGGCTTTGATAGTCTGCAATCGGAACTTGTTGCTCGCCGATCTGAGCGCTGCCGCAGTACGAGCCGCGACTCCAAGGCGAGCGCTTCGCAACTCGCAAAATTCGCATTTGACTATTGTTATTAGCATTGTTATTATTGTTATTGTTATGCATTATTTTGCTTTTGCTGCTCGTTTTCCATTGACATTCAATTTGATAAGCGGCAAATCAAAAAATTGACGTGTGTGTAAATTGAACTCTCTCGCTCTCTAACTGTCTATCTCTCTCTCGCACTCGCATTCGCTCCCATCGCATAAAAAGTAATGTGAAGTAGTTTCCTGACTGCGAAAATAAGTTGCATAAACTGTCGAATGCGGCGCAGCAGGAAGCGAATTATATAAAGTCAAATAAATAATTTTTAACATATTATTTGGCATTTGGCATTTTGCATTTGACTTAGCCGTAGTGAAACGTTGACACAAATTTCACGACAAATATTAAGATAAATGTATTTCAAGGCTGGTCGTTTCACTCATACTCACACACACACACAAACACACACTCAGATACATTCTCACCTTTGAGAACTTTCTTATGCGCCGTATTACGCTTGCCCGCATTTTGTGACTATTACAAATCGAAGCCCACGTAATAATTTAAAAATAAATGCACGATTTCTCATCGGCAAAATGAATAGAAATATTGCGAAATAAGCTGAAACTAATGCGAATATATGGATACAGAGCGTAAAGTGAATTCATTTGCAACAATATGAGCATTCTAACTGAACGTAAATAGAATCAGTGCAAAATGCTAAGGCTAAGCGGAATAATCAAGCACTCCAATTGGAAACCAACTACTTGTCCATTTACTTGGCTACATGCATGCAAAAAGGAAGATATTCATATGCACACGCACACACATGCGCATTGACCTGTGTAGAAATTACCAATAAGAGTGATGCTCCAATTTGAACCCAGCTACTTGTGCGCTCGCTACGATTCTGGAGCCAAAGTGCGCAAGTGCAGCCGCAGCAGCAGCCGCAGCCGACGACGCGTTCGCGACGTTGTCATCGAAACTCAACGAAGCCAAACATCATAAGGCACAGAAGAAGACACACTACGTCGCGCTGTGAGAGAGCGTGAGAGCGGCCAGCGAGTGGAGAGAAAGCAAAGTCCACAGAGAGCGGCGCGCTGCTTGATAAAAGTTGCGTTCGTTGTGGTTCGTTCAGTTAAATTTAAGACGAGAAGCCGAAGAGAACGACCGCTGGGTGCGTCGGAATGCAAAACGCGCCTAAAAAGCAAACGCAAAAACAAAAACAAAAACAACAACATTCAAAATAAATAAAGCAAAACAAAAGAATTCTAGAATAAATAAAAGACAGCCTTGCGCGGATATCAGATGACAGTCCAAGATAAAAATACTAAAACGAGCGTTGGAATATGTTTTTGCATATATGCTTGAATATAAGGACAAACAGTGCGGCAGCCGATTGCAAATCACAACTGAAAGCACTTAACGAAAGGTGTGTGCGAGCGTGCGAGAAAGAGAAAGGACAACCGAAAAGATATTGCAAAAATGTAGAAAATAAATATTTGATTGGCAGATTTTTGCAATATTTTTGAGTTGCACTGGAAAGATTAACACATCAAAATATATTACAATATTTTTAAAAATATATGAAATGTTTTTAAAAATATAAAAAATATATCAATTTTATTTTACTAAAAACTCTTTAAATTTAGTGTTCTGTGATGTCATGGTAAAAGTACCGCTTATCAAAGACTGAAAAAAACGATATCAGAATTATTGTGTTTGCCAGCGGAAACAGTTAATAAATACTCGCGAAATCGAACGGTAGAAAGGCAATTGCAGATAGTGATAGAAAGAGAGTAACTCCATTGGCCGGCAACAATGGCAATGACAATGCCAACCGACTACCAAGCGTACCTGGAGACAGCCTGGCAGTGGCTGAACTACCTGCCCTACCTGCTGGTGGCCTACGTGCTGCTCACCTTGGTGCCCAAGTCGCTGATGCGCATGAAACGCTACGCGGACGCTGACTTCGAGGCGAATCGTCACAAGTTTCATCGCTGCTATGGCCCTGAGCTCTGCTGCCACGCCCATGCCAGCGTCCAGGCGCAGGAGCTGCCAGCGAAGCAGGCGAAGCAGCGCAAGCCGGTGACTCGCGTCTACCCGAAGCGTCAGCAGCCGCTGAACAAGCCGGAGCTGCCGTCCATTAGGCACAACAATGTGACCAAGATTGCGCGCATGTTCGAGTCGGGCAACGCGACGCGCCAGGTGAGCCGTGTGACACCTGTGACGCTGCCCGACATACGCTCGCTGGGCGCCAGCGAGGACTCCAGCGAGACGACGCCCTGCGTCTCGCGCAAGGGCAGCATTGCCACACAGATGCAGCACATCGAGCATGCCATGCAACTGTGGCAGGAGCTGCAGGATCAACAGCAGCAACAACAGCAACAAGAACAACAGCAGCAGCAGCAGCAACAACAACAGCAGCAAAAGTCATCCAGGCTCAACGATTGGGAGCCGATGACTGCGATGCCTGTGCCGGCCATAAGGCGCAGCCTGGGCACCTCAGCCACGCCCTCGACTGCATCGCCGCTCTGCAGCTCACCTGAGCCGCCGTCACCTGTGCTGCTGCGCGAGCCGCCCGCTCTGTGCCTCAAGTCCAGCATGGAGGACATCTTCCAGGCGATCGCACGCAGCGCCGAGGAGCCCGTCGACTGCAACAGCCTCTCGCCCATCACCTGCATCGACGACATCTTGTCGGAGCGCAGATTCTCAAGGCCTTTGTCCGCCTACTCCATAACCGATCTGCTCAACGAGGAGCAGGAGCAGGAGTCGCTGTTCGTGAACGAGACGACGCTGCAGCAGCTGGAAACGAGTTGAGATGGGAAGAGAATATTGAGACTTTCGAGTGATTTTCTGCAGTAGATCATCTTCGTGCCATGTGCGAACCCAGCTTGCTTAGCTCTTTCTCTGTCCCTCCCTCTCTCTCTCTCTCTCTTTCTCTCACTGTTTGTCACTCTGCTTATCTCTCTGCCCCACTTATCAATGGATTCTTTCACCGAGCCACAGCAAAACAGTTGCGATAAGGCCACGCCCCCGCATTTCCCTGGCTGCTGCTTAGCCTTTGCCAGTTGCATTTTGTTTGTTTAATTAATGAAAGCTTAAGCAAATAAAAATCAAATCAATAACAATTATGGAATGTATTAACATTACTATTATTATTATCATTATTATTATTATTATTATAATTAACATTAGCGAATTAGATCTGATCAATGGAATTTGTATATATATATATATATAGATCCATGGACTGCAAAGTCCTTGGACTCAACGTATCGCATCCTTGCCTGGTCGCTATTCTGGTTCTCAGTTCTCAGTTGCCTATAACTATTATTATTTATTACTATTGTCATTGTGGATATATTTTTTAAATAATAAAACTGTAATTGAATTACACTAAAAAAAAACCAACCAAATTATCTCAAGTGACAAATAAATATGCAAAGTACTAAAATGCTTAAAGTACTTATTAAACAAAACTTTGACTACGAATTTGTAGTTAGTATTATTTATGTCTTACTCACACACACACACACACACACATACACGTACAAGAGTATACATATTTTAGAAATAAATTGTTTACAACAATCAATTGTAAGAATTTCATTTAATTTATGTTTGTCGCAGCTGGCGAAAAAGCAAGAGGAAGAAAACTGCATTAGAATATGAAAAAATTTCAGCTTTGCTCGGCAGCTGTTTTGATCAATTTGCTGCTATTTATTTTATATAATAAACATTCAGTCTTCCGCCTGTTTTGCACCTCCAACAGAGCAGAACAGAACCCAACTGAAATGATCTATTCCTAGCCAAACTAATTTGCCTCTGCCTCTGCCTCTGTCGAGTGGCATTTGGGCTTTTATTGTCATGATAAATTCTCTTGGATTGAAATGCGCAAATTTAATCGATATATACCATATGGATAGATATGTATTTATATATGGCATCATTAGTCAAATTCTTTATATATAGATATATACTAGAGAGTGTTTTATGATGCTAGAGTGCAAATACCTTTCAACTTGAGCACAAAAGAGCAAAACCTATCAACAAAGCTGAACAATCACTGAAATTGCTGCACAAAGAATTCTTTACTTAGCTTGAGATCAACGAATGCCATAGTTGGGAAAGATATAATAGCAGCAATGATTATACTTTGTACTACTGATAATAAAAGTGAAACAGCAACAGATTCTTATTGCCATTTAAATACTCTTGTTTAGTTAAGCTACTTGATATTGTTGACAAGCTAAAGAGTTTTATTAGACCTAAGAATAGTACTGAATAACTGGAGCAGCTACTATGTCTATGCACAATGACAAAAATTCCATAGAAACTAGGTAAATTTTATTCAGTTTCAGTTCTGTTTATTCATCGATAGCAAAAATTCCTATTGGAAATAATCTGTTTGAGTATGATAATAGTCGTGCGAATGAGTTTTCTTCTAGAAATAGTAGTGCCTCGACTACTACTATTTTAGTGCACGGCCTTTAATGCATAATGCAATGTGGGTAATTGCTCTATTTACGCCACTTTAAAGTAAATTTACTTTGCAGTCTGTTTATTCATCGAGCACAACAAATGCTGATTGCAATAGTCAATTGGGATTTCATTGTGCATCATTTGCAGCTGGTCCAATTGGACAAAGCCTCCATTGAATGAGTGTTGAGGCAGTTAGTTTCCAAAATCATTTAATTACGTGGGTGTATGCAAAAATTTCAAGGCCAACGTATTGGCCAGCTTAGGGAATATCATCTAAATGCTATTGCCTAAATATTGATTTCACGTTCATTAACCAAAAAGATCGAATGGAATAATTATTTGTATATGGCATTTGCAAAGCGTATTCAAACGTCGTCATGCCATGCCAAAAATTTGTTGTCTTTGTTTATATTTATTCGCCTTTTAGGTGGAGTTGACCCTTTTTTATTGCGGCTTATCACACTTAATGCCTCCGATGATTCATCGCGCACACGGCCCGAGCAATCGTCAGTCAGGCCACAAAGCCGTGTAGTAGCTCAGCTCAGCTCTGCTTTGCTCTGCTGATGACGCATTTTCGATCCATTTCAGAAAAATTCCAATTTCAATTCCGAATCCAATTCCAATTCCGATTCCAATTCCGATTCCGATTCGCTATCATTCACGAAGGTTGTGAGCGTAACAAAGCGTTTGTTTACTCAATCACACGAGCATTGCAAATAATTGGAAATTTCTCAATTGAGTTTTATGATAAACAATATATGACGATAACAAATGATTTATTGTGCCGGCAATACAAACAGCCGTTAGGCCTGAGCTCAGCGCCTATCTTTAGTGTAGAGCAAACATAAATTTGTGATATTTACAATTAATTTGTGGTTTAAACTTGAAACTCGAATGAAAGTAAACATTTGAAGAAATACGTTATGCTCTCAGCTCTCAGCTCGCTCTCGCTCTCTCTCTCTCTCTCTCTCTCTCTCTCTCTCTTCAGAGAATATGCTGCTTATCTTATCTTATCTCTCCCACTCTCCGTCAGGCTGTTTGATAGCTCAGCGTGTGCTGGCTCATATCTAATCTTCCTTCTCTCTCTCTCTCTTTCTGCCTGCCGCTCTGCCTCTCTTTTGGGCTATTTGTTTTACAGCTATCATTACCTGTCTCACCTTCCACTGCGCAGTAGCTTTGTTTTTGGTTGTTTATTATTTTTTTTTACGGACAATGCAATGAGTACCTCAGTCACAGATCCCGTGGCGCGCCGTAAACAGCTCTACAGATTGGATAGCGCATTTAATTTGAATTTGTTGTCTAATCAATTAACTTGGCTTTAAGGTGTGACTCGAATGCTGTGTGCGCAATGCAAAAAGGGAAACTGGTAAATGGCTTTGAAATTTTGACTTACTAATTCTCAGCTCTTTGTCCAAGTGTCGAGCCTGCTAACTAAATAACCAATTTAGTCGGCCCTGGGCAGGCCAGGCAGGTGTGAGTCATGCCCTCGACTGGGAATTGCCCAAGCTTTATTAATGTTAGCCAACTCGGAGTAGCCAAAAATGGTTTGATTGATGACCATTTTTGTAGCCAATGTGCGCGTTTTATTCATTTAAATTTCTAGTTTTATTTTGTGTGAAATTTGTTTTTTTTTTTTTTTTTTTTTTTTGTTTGTCTGTTTTTTTGTTGTTGTTTTTCGCAATCGACGCCCACGCGTCGTTTACTTAATGGCTAAAACTGTACTAATTGGGGTTTAATTGTTTTTTATGCTCACACAGGAATCACTTTCGCTGGCCCAATCGATCTCGGATAAGCCACTCCCACCATCGCCACTCATCGTGGCCAGCCTCGAGGGCGGCAAAGTCTCGGATCGTTTGGGTAAACTCAAGTCGAACTCAGAGAAGTGGAAGCAGCGCATAGGTAAGCACACGATTAGCAGCTGAGCTCGGCTGATATTCATTATGCCAATGATAATGATAATGAACTGCTTGCAGAGCAAACGGATGCCAAGAAGTTCACAGTCGCTGGCCGACTGCAGAAGAAGGAGCAGTCGCCAGTCGAGCTGCAGTTCGAGCGGCTGCCCAACGATGCGGCCAAGAAGTGCCCCATGCTGGAGGTGCGCAGCGCCAACCAGCCCCAGCTGGGCCTGGCCAAGAGCCCCTCTATGATGGTGGGCCACGCAACGAAGCCGACGGCCGTGCAGCGCAGCTTGAGCGTCCAGGAGGAGGAGAATGTGACGCTGACGCGCAGCAACAGCAACAAGAGCAGCAGCAGCAGCAGCAGCAGCTCCGACTCGGATGGCTCGCCGCGCAATGCCAAGCAGCACAAGGAGCTGGCCAACAACAAGAGCGCCGAGGCAGCCACAAATGTGGGCGCCCGGATTCAGGTGCCGCGCTCGGACGATGCCGAGACCTTCGAGAACTTCTTTGGCGGTCAGCAGCAGCAGCAGCAACAGACAGTCGAGCTGGAGATAAGCGCCTTCGATGACATCAAGTCCACGGAGCGGTAAGGCCTATTCCCTTTTGTTTGAATTCAATTCAAGCTTCGTCTCCTGCCTCTTTAGCCTGGTTAGCAAGCGCAACATTCAGGGCCCCAAGGGCCGGCGCGCCGCACGCAATCCGCTCAAGACGCTGGCTGCACGCAGCGACATCTGCTCCGAGTACACAGAGCTGAGGACGGGCGTGGCCGAGCGTGAGCTGCGACGCCTCAAGCTGGAGTCCTGTAAGTGCTGATATATTTCTGGATTATCCTTAAGCCTCTCTAATCATCCCATATCCGACAGATGGACAGCGCAGCAATTTGGCAGCAGAGGCCATTGCAGGGCTCGCCTCGATCGAGGACTTCAAGTCGGTGGCACTGAGATCGTCGTCGCTTCCCCTGCAGCAGGTGTGGGTGCCCTACAAGCGCCTGATGCTGCTGCACGTGAAAGGACGCACGCATGTGCAGACGCGCCTGGTGGCACCTGCGCAGGTGTCGCTCAATCGGGGCGACTGCTTCATCTTGGTCGCGGGCACGCAGCTGTTCCGCTACGTGGGCTCGTTCGCCAATGTGATTGAGATCTCGCGCAGCAAGAAGATCTGCGCCGCGATTGTGGAGAACAAGGATCTGGGCTGCACAGCCACGCAGGAGGTCATCCTCACCGACGGCAAATACGTGAACGAGCGCGAGTGGCGGCAGTTCTGGTCGCTGCTGGGTGAATCGGAGCAGCAGCAGCAGCAGCAGCAGCAGCAGCAGTCGCTGATTGCCGACTCGGGCCATGCGGACGAGGACGATGTGTTCGAGAGCAGCCTGATCGAGACGAACAAGATCTACGAGTTCCAGAACGATGCCCTTGTGCCCCTCGAGAAGTACTGGGGCAGCATACCCAAGGTCGAGATGCTCGACACGCGCAAGGTGCTGGTCTTTGACTTTGGCAGCGAGCTGTACGTGTGGAATGGCAAGAATGCGAGCACGGATGACAAGCGGGCGGCCATGCGACTCGCCCAGGAGCACTTCGATGCCCCGGATGCGGCAGACTATGCCCAGTGCTATCTGAATCCGATCAACTATGCGAGCATCGTCGGGCGGCGCGAGAGCACAAAGTACGCCAAGCGTTGCGCTCAGCGCCCGGAATGGTGCGTTCTGGGCAGGATTACCCAAAATATGGAGACGGTGCTGTTCAAGGAGAAGTTCAGCGACTGGCCAGAGCTGGAGCGCGAGGATCTCGAGAAGGACTACTTGGCCAACGGCGTGCAGGTGGTGCGCGCTCTCAACGGTGCAGCTCTGCACAAGGGCGAGCCCTATCAGGAGCCCAATCTAGTGCTTGAGCTGGCCAATTTGGGGCGTGGCAACTTCTACTACGACAACGACACAATGCGCCACTTCGACATCATTAGCAAGTCGATCGATAAGTGGCAAATCCACGAGTTCAACTTCGATGCGGCCGAGTCGCGCGAGACCTACGGTCACTTCTACTCCACGGAGAGCTATATCGTGCGCTGGATATATCAGATCTCGGTCACAGTGCGCGAGCTGAGTGGCAAGGTGTCGAATCGCAGCACTGTGGGCCGCGATCGCTGCGTCTATTTCACCTGGCAGGGCGTCGACTCGAGCGCCAATGAGAAGGGCGCCGCAGCTCTGCTGACCGTGGAGCTGGACAAGGAGAAGGGCGCCCAGATGCGCGTGGCCCAAGGCGAGGAGAACACCGCCTTTGTGCGACTCTTCCGTCAGCTGTGGCAGCACCAGGGTCGCAGGGCACAATGCCTGGCCAGGCGATCCGAGTGGCGTTTGTACCAGCTGCAAGGCAATCTTCCAGAGGAATCGATCCTCAAGGAAGTCCAATGCGATGCGCGCCAGCTGCGCTCGCGCAGCTCCATGCTCCTCGTCCATGGCATCGAGGGACAGGTGCTCGTCTGGCACGGCTGCAAGAGCGCCAGCCACACTCGCAGCGTCGTCTTGGCGGCTGCTCAGCAGCTCGTGGAGCAGCTGCCGGCTGACATGTTCGACTGTGCAAGTGCCGCAGTGGAGGAGCTGGAGGAGGGTGCGGAGAGCGATGCCTGCAAGACGGCGCTTCATCTCGCTGAGAGGCCCGACTATGGTAGCCTGCTGAAGTCAACCAAGTGCTACGATTACACATTGCGCATGTTCAACTTCTCGAGCACTCAAGGCGTCTTTACGGCCCACGAGCTGCTCGATCCGCTGCGCTGCCAGGACTTGCAGTCCCCGTATCCGTTCTCACAGGCACAGCTCTACAATGCTCGCCAGCCGACTATATTCCTGCTCGACGACGGCGATGAATTGTGGCTCTGGATGGGCTGGTGGCCACTGGAGGACATTAAAAGTGAGTCTCCAGGTCAGACCTAAGCAATTGAATATGCATGCTAATGTCTCTTTGATTGCAGTCAACGACGAGGATCGCAGCAGCCCCACGAACGACAACCGTGCGGGTGTCAACCGTTGGATCTCAGAGCGACGAGCCGCTCTAGAAACGGCCGTCGACTATTGGCGTGCCAAGCATGGCGAGAACGAGGCGGTTGCCTTCCATGGGGTCAAGGGCCACGTTGTCTGGGCGGGCCTGGAGCCAGTGGCCTTCAGGGCACTCTTTCCCAACTGGAGCGAGCGTGCCGATGTTCGTGAAATCAACATCGAGGTAAGCCAATTCTCAACCTTACTCAGTTTGCTTATATTAACTATATCTACTATGCGTATTACAGGATGGTCGCACCGATGTGCCCATGTCGATCAGTGAAATGCTCGCACAAATGACCCAGACCGAGTATCCGCTGGAGGTGCTTAAGGCTCGCCCACTGCCAGAGGGCATCGAGCCCACTCGCCTGGAGCTCTACTTGAACACGAATGAATTTCAGCAGGCGCTCGGCGTGAGTCGCGCGGAGTTCGACCAGTTGCCCGTGTGGAAGCAGACCAAGCTGAAGAAGGAGCGCGGCCTCTTCTAGGCGAGACTACTATTATGTGACCATATAGACTTTTAAGTGAACGCAATCACAAACTACTTACTCTTGCAACCAAATATTTTCGTAAAACTCTTTATATACGAACATTGTGTACTCTACCAGGACTATTTACAGCTACCACATGACATACCCATGCGCATATCTCTATATACTCTCGTACTTTACACTTACTTAACGTATATATACATGGTATTTACATATATAACATTTTTACACACATTTATATCTTATGATAACGGCACAATATGTTTGCAGGCGGCACAAAGATTATCATGAAATTGCACTGAACTATCAATAAACGTTAGAATTTAATACTCTTACCCTGTACATATTAAGTCGATGTACTTTGATTTCGCATAGTACATAGTCAACATTTCGATTGTTTAATTTTAAAGAGCGCCAACAGAAAAAGTTTTAGAAAAATACGAACGACATTTCGTATCTTCATAGTTTTTATTATTATGTATTCAAAATTTGATTATATTCAATTTTTTGTCCATTTTAGCATATGTATTTTTTATGTTTCAATTTTATGTTATATTATTTAGCTTTTACTGAACAAATACAATTTTTAAATTAACATACATTGGTTATACAATTTTTTTTTTTTTTATTTTAATTTGTAATTTATGAGCAGATAAGAGGATTCTAGGAATAATGTAGCCCCGGTCTATAAGAAGAGTCATTTTTTTCGAGTTCAATTTACAGTCATAATTGAATTCGATTAAATGCGTAAATAACTAATGATTAACTTAAAACGTATGTAACGGGCAGAAGGAGGTGTGGCAATTATCATACACATGGCTAAAAATATGTATGATTTATGCTTTAGCTGTCTTCTCTTTCCTAGCATATGTTCGAAATTAAATCGAGTGTCTTGATCATGACATACATTATTAACATTTCTCACTCTTCTACTAATTGCTGTTCGCCTGGTACCTCGAAATCGTGTACAGCAATTTTGGCAAAGTACCAGGCACACAGGAACGAGCTGTAGGGTGAAAAAAGTTTCTTAACAGTACAGTAACGAGTACTGTTGAGAGGCTGTTATTAAACATAGCAATAACAGTGCTATGCTCACTCACTGTTAACAAACATTTTTCACCCTACTACGCATTTCTGTTCGCCTGGTACTTCCGAAGTTTCAACAGCAATTTTGGTGAAGTACCAGGCACACAGGAACGAGCTGTAGGGTGAAAAAAGTTTCTTAACAGTACAGTAACAGAGTACTGTTGAGAGGCTGTTATTAAACATAGCAATAACAGTGCTATGCTCACTCACTGTTAACAAACATTTTTCACCCTACTACGCATTTCTGTTCGCCTGGTACTTCCGAAGTTTCAACAGCAATTTTGGTGAAGTACCAGGCACACAGGAACGAGCTGTAGGGTGAAAAAAGTTTCTTAACAGTACAGTAACAGAGTACTGTTGAGAGGCTGTTATTAAACATAGCAATAACAGTGCTATGCTCACTCACTGTTAACAAACATTTTTCACCCTACTACGCATTTCTGTTCGCCTGGTACTTCCGAAGTTTCAACAGCAATTTTCGTGAAGTACCAGGCACACAGGAACGAGCTGTAGGGTGAAAAAAGTTTCATAACAGTACAGTAACAGAGTACTGTTGAGAGGCTTTTATTAAACATAGCAATAACAGTGCTATGCTCACTCACTGTTAACAAACATTTTTCACCCTACTACGCATTTCTGTTCGCCTGGTACTTCCGAAGTTTCAACAGCAATTTTGGTGAAGTACCAGGCACACAGAAACGAGCTGTAGGGTGAAAAATGTTTCTTAACAGTACAGTAACAGAGTCCAGTTGAGAGGCTGCTATTAAACATAGCAATAACAGTGATATGCTCACTTACTGTTAACAAACATTTTTCACCCTACTACGCATTTCTGTTCGCCTGGTACTTCTGAAAGTTCAAGAGCAATTTTTGTGAAGTACCAGGCACACAGGAACGAGCTGTAGGGTGAAAAAAGTTTCTTAACAGTACAGTAACAGAGTACTGTTGAGAGGCTGTTATTAAACATAGCAATAGCAGAGTGCTGTTAAAATTTAAAATTTGAGCGACAACGGCCGCAATAACAGCCCCCTAAGTTATGCAACAATTTTTTATATTGTGCTATTTTTCGACCGTTGCTGTTTGAAAATTGATCGACAGCAATAAGACCCTGTCAAATAAAAACACGGTTCGATTATTTATTGATATAAATTTATTTATTTTCAAATTTACATAGTTTTTGCTGAAGTATATGTAAATTATTTATATATGTATCTCTCTTAGATTAAAGCATTTACCAGCAACATCCTTATACTATTCTGGACCATTTTTGTTTACATGTTTATTTTTCTGTTAAATAATATGCAATCGGGGATTATGATGCTAATGGACACTCTGAAAAGAGAAAAGAGATTTTTAATAATTTGGGTTAATGCGGTCACTTACCTCTGATGACTCCTGATGAATACTGATACCTGCACTATTCATGCTTCATAGTGTGTGTTTATTTTTGACTGTAATTCGAGCAAATTGTAAATTGAATTTACAATTGTCTTCGAAATTTGGCTCTATATCGCAGCAATTATTTCCCAACTCAAGTAGATGTTCAAGTAAACCTTCTCGAACATCTACGAGCCAATGCGAGATTAATGAGTGTCTGGTTAATACATTTTGGCAAACTTACAAGAGTTTAAATGCTTTAGGATTTCGTCATATATAGTTCAGAAAAGTATTAGATTTATTTAAACATTTTCTAAAAGTACGTATTAAGCATATACTTATATTTAGATAACTATAGTTTAGCTTAGACTGTTAATTTGTATAAAATTCTAAAAGCCAAGTGCTGGTCTACGCTGTCTTTTGAATTTCGGCCACAAGGCGAGAGACGAGCTCGCAGCAGGTCTTCTGCCTGTTCTTGGCCACGGCCATCACCTCATCGTGGCTGGCCTCGTCGTCCTTCTTGTCGCTATACTCAGTGGCGCACTTGTTGGTGATCAGGCTGAAGGCGAACACCTTCATGTCGCAGTGGCGGGCCGTGATCACTTCGTGCACCGTCGACATGCCGACCGCATCGACGCCCATCATGCGGAGGGCCTTCAGCTCGGCAATGGTTTCGTAGGTGGGTCCGCCCAGGCAGGAGTAGACGCCAACATGCACACTCGACTCGATGCCCATGGTTTTGCTGATTTCGATGGCCTTGTTGATCAGGTCCTTGTTGTACGAGTTGACCAAGGCGGGGAAGCGGGGCCCAAAGCGCGGGTCATTGGGACCCTGCAGCGGCGAGTTGCCCGCAAAGCCCAGCATGTTGACATGATCGTGCATCAGCATAATGTCGCCGACGGCGTACTTCGGGTTAATACCGCCCGCCGCATTCGTAGCGAACAGATACTCAACGCCGCAGAGCTTCATCACGCGCACCGGCATCGAGCACTTGGCCAGCGGGTAGCCCTCATAGAAGTGGAAGCGGCCCTGCATCGCCATCACGTTGGCGCCCTCCAAGGTGCCGACGACCAGTCGGCCAGCATGTCCCTCCACTGTGGAAACCGGGAAGTTCGGGATCTTCTCGTAGTCGAAGACTTTGGGGTTCTGTATGATATCGGCCAATGAGCCAAGTCCAGAGCCGCAGATGATGCCAATTTTGGGTCGGATGCCGGAGCCCTTGACAATGAAGTCAGCAATCTCCTGGATCACCTCATAGGGATACCTGAAAACATCATATAAACCATTAGCTAGCGGATCATTACACAGAATAGAATAATACATGCATATTGTACATTGCAATGACTGTTGGGTACAACAAAAGACGATCAACTGAAAAGAATTTTGAATAATTCTACTTGCATAACTCTTATCGATCAAAGTACAATTACAATTAGTTAGATGGTAAACAAGTTTGCAAAGTGAAATATGTTGTGAGCGTGCACGATTGTGATAAAGACAGTGACAAGACAGTGACACACACAAAGATCAGATATAAATTGGTCTACAAACATGTCTTGGCGCATCAAATTCACTGCCCGGAACTCGTCGGACGTTAGGGAGCATTGAATATTGTTTTCGCTGCTGCTGCAAGTGATTGAAAGAGTATTTAATAATGTTTTTATTGTAATTCCTCAAGTGCTAGTACAAATCAAAAATAAATATTGATATATACCCCAACTGTTTAAATGGTAAGACTACATAATTCCAATTTCATTTGAAGATGAAGTAAAAAAACCATTTTCCGAAAGAACAAAAGAGTGAAATACTTTCTTACATCTCTTGCCCAGTTTAAAGTTTTAGTCTACATTTCAATCTAAAGCCAAATCAAATTTAAAATGGAAAGGAAAGATGTAATGCTTATCAGATGCGGAAAAATTCTATTTTCGAATCATTTTCACTAGTCTCAAAAATATTTTGCCAGACAGAGATTGTTTATTAATTTGTGCTGTTTTTTCCGAATGCCATATGTAATGCGACTAGGGCTTAGGGCACATCGATCTGGCTATGGGTTATCTCTCTCAGTCTATCGGTCTAGCAAGCTCATGAAATTGCTGTACAAATTTCGTCACGCGAAACAAACAAGTAAAAGTGTTCTAGTTGGGAGAGCTCCTCTTGAAATACCCTAACTTAATACAAGGCAATGTCGAGCTAGAGGAAGAGACAGACTCTCAGACTATATCAACTCAGCTTGTCATCTTGATCAGGAATATAAACACTCACGGGATCTATGGATTCTGTTAAGCCTATTTCAGCCTGTAACATACATAATCACAAACACATATTACCCCAAATTTCCATTTTCAATAGGTTCAGTGTATAAGCAAGAATGTGTTCTAACAAAACGCTTTGATTTTACATGTGTTCTAGCAATTAAAACTTAATTATAATACTTAATTTGCCCAGCTAAAAATGTTAATTATAAAATTGAAACCGGCTATGCTAAATGTATTGCATATATATAACATATATTAAACGATCAGAACAACTTCTTTGAAAGCCAAAAAAGTTTTAACATTTCAGCAAAGACGCAAATCTTTGCAACCAGTTTGAAAACTAAACTGAAATAAGAATTTGAAGATTGACTTGGCGATACTCTCACCAAAATGTAAATATATATACTAGAGGATACCCTATATAGAAGGGTTTATATTGAAGCCTGGCATCATTTGATTTGAAAGAGTTAGAACTTCACATTTGGCTATTATTTTTAAAATTTAATGAGCGATTAAATTCTAATCAATAGATTAAAATTCAACAAGTTCGTGAAACAAAAACAAAACAATAATCTACACTTGGCTTTATCGCGTTACCAAGTGGTAACA